TTCCAAAGTTATATTCTTTTTTTAAAAAAATATAAACCTTTATTTGTTTATTTATTTTTTTTTAATCCTCACCACGGAATGCTCATTGATTCTTAGAGAGGAAAGGGGCATAGAGAGAGAGAAAAACATCAATGGCTCTCTCCTGCACACACCCTGACCAGGAATTGAACCCATGACCTTTTGTTGTATGGGATGACGCTCCAACCAACTGAGCCACACTGGCCAAGACTTAACTTATATTCCTAATAGTACCCTTTTCAAATTATAGAGTACAGGCACTGCCCAGCTGGTGTTGCTCAGTGGTTGAGCATCCACCCTGGAACCATGTCCGGGTTGTGGGCTCATCTCAAGTGTGGGGTGGCAGGAGGCAGCTGATTGATGCTCTCATTGATGTTTCTACCCTGTTTCCCCGAAAATAAGACAGTGTCTTATATTAATTTTTTCTCCCAAAGTTGCACTAGGTCTTATTTTCAAAGGATGTCTTATCTTTCCATGCACTAGGTCTTATTTTCGGAGGATGTCTTATTTTCGGGGAAACACGGTATCTCTCATCTCTCTCCATTCCTCTCTCTCTTTAAAAAAAATAAATAAATTTTAAAAATCATACTAAAAGGTATAGGTACTAAGAAATTTTAAAGGCCGAGATTGATGGATTGATTTATATTTTCCTTTGCCAAGTGCCTTGGATAGCAGCTGCCTGGGCCCACTTTAAATTATATTCTGGAAATAAGGTCTTTATTTTATTTTTTTATTTTTATTTTTTTGAAATAAGGTCTTTTTAGATGACCTGAAAGAATGATTTTTGAATTTTCCTAGAATTCTTTTTAATACCATGCTAATTCATTTTGATGCTTGAGATTAGAAAATTTTCATTCATTAAGTCAGGGGCTGGAAAATTATATCCCACTTACCTAATGTAGCTGGTTTGATTGGAACCTGCCCGTGCTTATTTGTGTGTCATTTGTAGATGTTTTCCTGTTACAATGGCGGAGTTGAGTAGTTGCAGCAGAAACCATATGTTTTACAACGGCCAAGACATCTATTATTCGGTCTCTTCCAAAAAAGTTTGCTGACCCCTGCCTCAAAGAAATGGGCCTGGGCTTGTTCCTGATCCACATTACACTAAAGATGTAGTTCCTGGGGCCTGCTATTACCCTGTTTCCCCGAAAATAAGACAGTGTCTTATATTAATTTTTGCTCCCAAAGATGCGCTAGGTCTTATTTTCAGGGGATGTCTTATTTTTCCATGAAGAAGAATACGGTGCACATTTATTGTTAAATGAAAATAAAGGAAATGTATTACCTGTATACGGTACGGTAGTACGGTAGTTGTTAACACAAACCAGACAAACTGTGAATCCTACAGTATCAAGAATTTACTCATTTATTCAATGACAATCATGTCATCATCTTCTGGAACATCATCATAATAATCCAATTCTTGAATTTCCTGGTGAATTTCTTGTGACTCCATTTCTTTCAGAATCAGTGGACCAAATCTCTCATGTTTAGCAATAGCACTGTCTTTAAATGAGTACTTCTTGTCAAAGTAGCCTGCTCGCAGTGCATTTGCAATGCAACTGTCAGTGATTTTCTCCCATGAATTCTTCACCCAAGTCACAACTTCTTGCAGTTTAGGTTTCACAAAGTTTCCACGCTGACTTCTCTCCATTCTATTTTCAGTGTAGTCGTTAATTTTCATTCTGAGACAGAGCCGGGGGGGGGGGGGGGGGGGTTATTTTCAGGGGGATGCCTTATATTTCACTCAGAAGGAAACCTGTAAGTAGGTCTTATTTTCGGAGGATGTTTTATTTTCGGGGAAACACGGTAGTCTGCTCCACGTGGCCTTTGTCTCTGGTCCTCAGCACCCTGCAAGGCATAACAACTAACGCTCAAGTTCGCAGAGCTTGGTAAATGTCTTCAAGGAGGACAGCATTAGTGCTCTCCTTATCTCTGTGGGTTCCTGCTTTCACTTCATTTTTGGCCTCTGATTATGCTTTATTTTCTTGCTGTCTCATTGATTTGTTTATACTTTTCCATCATTGTTACTTTCAGTGGGAGGGTTATTCAAAAGATTGTTCTGTCACCCAGGAAATACCGTATGTTCCTGCCATCCATGATTTTAATCATTTGGGCCTTCTGTGGACTGAAGGCTTCTATAAGCTCTTATGTGAAGCAGAATTTCATTCTTGGCATTATTTGTTAATCACAGCATTTAATATTTCTCAGTCATTGTTGGAAGTGGCATGCTATGGAAGATAACCTGACAGAAATTGTTAAATCACTCTGCAGCATATATAAAACAAATAAATTATATAGGGAACATCCTAATGATGTGTTTACAGTGTGTTGAACTGTTGGCAAACGGGGATCCTTATTTGAGCAGATGCTATTTTATTTCTTGGCAAGCGGAGACTGTGAGTAAAAATTGAGAAGTGCTGTGGGATTTCTCTTTATTCCTCGTATTCCCAGAAAGGATATGTTAACATGTGATCCACCAAGTAGCGTTCTTTGAGGCTGGGCAGTTACAAATCTTAGCTGTTCGTGTAGGCAAGTCCTGCCATGGGTTATAATGGGAGAGCATCAGGAGCAGGTCATATCTGATCTAGGTCCCTCTCCAATATTTGTAGGTGAAACTCCTCCTTAATGCCATGAGCCTGGTTTTGCCTGTGAGAAAGGGAGTTTATAGGCCCTAATGTCCCATACCAGAGAACTCCCCTTACCACCCTCAGAGCATTCCTTGATATGTGGGCCGAGGGCATGAGACTAGATGACAATGAACTGGATTACTGAATCTTGGGGCTACCCTTTGCCACTTATATGGCCTAGAGAAATCATCTCACATTTCGGGGTCAGTTTCCTCATCTGTTCGGTGGGACTCATGCGTGCTGCCTTGTAAAGTTGTTGTATTATAGTAAATAAGTAAAGTGGATAACATAGACCAGAAAGTGCTACCTTCTCCTCCCCAACGGTGTGTAAGTTACAGAAGAGAAGAATACAGCTGCTTGTCCTCCCTGATGTTTGTAAGCAGCAAAACCTTTAGAAAACCTAATTTACTTCCAAGGTAGAAAAATGGGTAGGAGGAGAAACGGGAAAGGGAAAGACCCATGAGGAAACATGAAAGCAATGGAAAGGCAGGGGCATGGCCAGTCCTCACCCGTCTGTGTCTTCACAGTTTGTGTAATTACTCGGTGTAGTTGTTTTCTAATGCCTTCTAGCACTGCAGATTTGGAAACTGGTTATGACCCTGACCACCATTTTTATTTACTTGGTGAATGCTCTTTTTAAAAATGGTTATTTAATTTTGAGTTTTCATAGTCATTCATTTCAGAGCTACTTTGATAAACCTTTCTAGAAATAATATCTATTAATTAGATTAAATATTTTTTTGTCTGTTTAGGAAGGTGAACCTTCTGGAAAGAGAAAAGCAGAAGATGATGATAAAGCAAATAAGAAGCATAAGAAGTACGTGATCAGTGATGAAGAGGAAGAAGATGATGACTGAAGTGCAAAATGTGAAAACATTTATATATTTTATTGTACAGTTTGTCCTATAAATATGATGTAAACATGAGTTATTTTGATTGAAATGAATTGATTTGCTTCTCTGTAATTTTAATTGTAATAAAATGTTTTTTAAAGACAAGTCTCTATTTAAGAAATTGACTTTTTCCAAAGTGAGTTGATTTTATTAACGTTGAGTCTTAGGTTTTCTTTTCATTTTTTTTCTTTAATATATTTATTGAATTTTTACAGAGAGAAGGAGAGGGATAGAGAGCTAGAAATGTCGATGAGAGAGAAACATCGACCAGCTGCCTCTTTTTTTTTTTTTTTTAATATATTTTATTGATTTTGTACAGAGAGGAAGGGAGAGAGTTAGAGTTAGAAACATAGATGAAAGAGAGTCATCGATTAGCTGCCTCTTGCACACCCCCTACTGGGGATATGCCCGCAACCAAGGTACATTCCCTTGACCGGAATTGAACCCGGGACCCTTCAGTCTCCAAGCCGACGCTCTATCCACTGAGCCAAACCTGTCCCGGCGACCAGCTGCCTCTTACACACCCCCTACTGGGGATGTGCCCGCAACCAATGTACATGCCCTTGACCGGAATCGAACCTGGGACCTTTCAGTCCCCAGACCGACGCTCTACCACTAAGCCAAACCGGTTTTGGCAGGTTTTCTTTTTTTTACATTTATATTTATCTATTTTTTGAGTGTTAGGTTTTAGTGAGTTCCTGTTGCTCTGATGCACCTCCTCCCATGCTCCACAAGGAAGCTGCCTGGGCAGGACCACATGGGGCTAGTTAGGCATCCTTGTGGGATACAGAGTTTAAAGGGGCACAAAATTGTCTGTAATTGTATTAGTTTGCTAGGGATAACCAATACAAAGCACCCAAACTGGGTAGCTTAAAGCCACTGAAATGTATTCCCGCACAGTTCTGGAGCCGAGAACTCCCAAACCGGGTTCCTGTCCTGTCCTGGCTTCTGGGACTCCGAGTTACCGTTGGTTCCAGTCTTTGCCTCTTTCTTCACATGACATTTCCCTATGTCTGTATCTCCAGATTTCCCTCCCAGATGCACAACGGTCAGTGGGTTTAGGGCCACCCTAATCTAGTGTGACCTCATCTTCACCAATTACATTTCTAAGACCGTTTTGCCAAATTCTGAGGTTCTGGGTGGATATGAGTTTTGAGGGATCCCTATCTACTGCAGTAATCAAAATTAATGTAATACAACATTTTAAAAAATATATATTTATTGATTTTTTTACAGAGAGGGGGAGAGGGATAGAGAGCTAGAAATGTAGATGAGAGAGAAACATCGACCAGCTGCCTCTTGCACACCCCCTACCGGGGAAGTGCCCACAACCAATGTACATGCCCTTGACCGGAATCAAACCCGGGACCCCTCAGTCCACAGACCAATGCTCTATCCACTGAGCCAAACCGGTTTCGGTTGTAATACAACATTTAAAAAAATTGACATGAATATCAAAAACCCCATGATGAACAAAATACCAACATTTTACATAAAGACAGGATCTGCTTTTTCTGTGCCATGGTGGTATGTGCAATTGACTCTTGCCAAGTCTTCTCACAGGACTTAGGATCGAGCGGTTGCTGGCCAAACACAGAAGAATCGGCCTATTCCCCAATGGATTCCGATGGGAACTGGCAATAAAATGAGGTTCAACTCCAAGAGGAGACCTGGGGAAGAACCAAGCTGGGTCTGTAAGGGATTGCACATGATGTAGTTCTCCTATGTATTCTGTGTCCGCACTGCTTACAATTTACCACATCACTGAAAAGATCACTACTATAGGGACAGTTGGCCGTGTTTCATTGGGAAATGATTGAAGAATGATTTTTCTCTTCGTTAGTATGTTTCTGCACTAGTAGGTTGGTTCAGTAATAAATATGTGAGGCCTTTAAAGAGATGTGGCAGGATTGGGATTAGGGTAAGGCAAGTGAGAGGTGCAGAGCTGGTTGAGTTCTCTAAGATTTTATATTTTGTTGATGGTGTTTTGTTTTTCTTGTTTTGCATGGAACTTAAGTACTGCAGTATTATTTATCTCGAACACAGATTTCGCACCCCTTACATTTCCCACACAAGGTGAGTATCTCACTTGCACATCCTGGTCCTGGCCCTGCTGTCGCACCACATGGTGGCTGAGTTCCAGAGGTGAGCACCCCACGGAGTGGGCCAGGTGGAAGCTGTATTACCATTTCTTGCTTTCTCCTTTTACGACTAGCATCGAAAGTTCCATCAAAATCCACCACATTCTGGTCATTTGAAGTAAGTCAATGATGCAAGTCCATATTGACAGGGTGGGAAGTTTGACACCGCTTGATGGAAGGGACAGCAAAGAATTTGCAGAGATGTTTTGAATCCACCCCACACTTACATGTCTTTTCTGTAGTGCTCTCCTACATGCACTAACCTTGCCCCTGTGATTGGACTGCACCCCACTTCCTTCCTATGCTGTTAGTGCAGTCTGGGTGCGGTGGCTGCAGGAAGTCTACCTGGTGACAGAGGAAGAAAAGCGACTTCTGGCCGAAACAGGTTTGGCTCAGTGGATAGCGCGTCAGCCTGCGGACTGGAAGGTCCCAGGTTCAGAGGCATGTACCTTGGTTGTGGGCACATCCCCAGTTGGGGGTGTGCAAAAGGCAGCAGATTGATGATTCTCTCTCACTGATGTTTCTAACTATCCCTCTCTTTTCTCTCTGTAAAAAAAAAAAAAAAAGAAGAAGAAGAAGAAGAAGAAGAAGAAGAGGGTTCTGAATTGGGTCACGTTCCTAACTCAGAAACCTTCAGTCCCTTTGCTGTTTTTGGCTATCAAGTTGAAACTTCTCTTGTGGCTATAAAGAGCCTTCTTTCTTTTTTTAAATATATTTTTATTGATTTTTTTTTTATAGAGAGGAAGAGAGAGAGATAAAGAGTTAGAAACATCGGTGAGAGAGAGTCATTGATCAGCTGCCTCTTGCATACCCCCTACTGGGGATATGCCCGCAACCAAGGTACATGCCCTTGACCGGAATCGAACCCAGGACCTTTCAGTCCGCAGGCCGACACTCTATTCACTGAGCCAAACTGGTTTCTGCAAGAGCCTTCTTTCTGATTCTTCCAAGGCAACATTTTTTTAAAATTTGTTTTTAAGGAAAAAATTAATGTTTTAATTTTGTTTAATTATAATATTTTTAAAAAATAGGGAAAACATGTACCTACACAATAGCCTGTCACAGTAATTTAAAAATTATAGCCACGTATGTGCCTTTAAAACCTGTTAACTGAGCCGAAACCGGTTTGGCTCAGTGGTAGAGCGTCGATCTGCAGACTGAAGGGTCCCAGGATTCTGGTCTAGGGCATGTACATTGGTTGCGGGTACATCCCCGATAGGGGGTGTGCAAGAGGCAGCTGGTCGATGATTCTCTCTTATCGACGTTTCTAGCTCTCTATCTCTCTCTCCTCCTCTCTGTCAAAAAAATAAATAAAATATAAATAAATAAAATAAAACCTGTTAACCGAGTGGGACCTATAAATACATCAAACATAAACACTATCGGGAACAGGTAGGACATATGAATACATCCTTGAAATATATGTTGCGCCCTGAGAGGGACGGTATATATTTTTTGTAATCTTTATAATTGTTTGTAAAATTTATAATTTTTTATATTTTATTGATATTTTACAGAGAGGAAGAGATTGGGATAGAGAGTTAGAAACATCGATGAGAGAGAAACATAGATCAGCTGCCTCTTGCACACCCCCTACTGGGAATGTGCCCGCAACCAAGGTACATGACTCTGACTGGAATCGAACCCGGAACCTTTCAGTCCGCAGGCCGATGCTCTATCCACTGAGCCAAACCAGTTTCGGCTATAATTTTTTAATTTGATGTTTCCATTTTTTTTTTTTTTTTTGGTATTCTTTTCTATTTGTTTGTAATTTTTTGTTTTGTTTGTAATTTTGTATTTTCCTTTGTGCTTTATATATAAATAAATGAAAAAATATATATTTCATTTATTTTAATTAAGTATAAATAAATAAAAATATATAAAATTATGTCGGCTGGACGTGACATACTGACACGTCCTAGTGAAAAAGTGAGCCCATTGTACATGGCGTAATTAAAATTTGGAAACAGCCTAGGTGCCCATCAGCAGTTTTTGGATCCAAAAACTATGGTACATTTACACAATGTTTTTGGATCCAAAAACTATGGTACATTTACACAATGGAATATTATGCTGCCATAAAAAAGAAAAATTTCTCGTCGTTTGCAGCAACTTGGATGAAATTGGAGAACATCATGCTGAGTGAAATAAGCCAATCAATGAAAGAGAGACACCACATGATCTCACTTATTTATGGATGATAAAGTACATTATAAACTGAAGAACCAAAAGATAGATATAGAGACAGTAAAGCAACAAGCAGACTTCAAATTACAGTGGGGAGGCTGGGGAGATCTGGGGGAGATAAGAGATCAACCGAAGGACTTGTGTACATGCATATAAGTACAACCAATGGACAGAAAACTCTGGGAAGGGAGGGTATGTATGGGAGGGGGGGGCATTGGTATATATACAAAAATAATAATTTAATAAAAAATATATTAAAAATAAATAAATAAATAAATAAATAAATAAATAAAATAAAAAAATAAGGGAACTCCCCGGTTAACAGGTTAACTGGGAATCGAACCCACAGCCCTTCAGTCTGTGGGCTGTCGCTCTAACCGCTGAGTGGAACTGGCCAGGGCTCATCTGCCCTGTTCTTAACACCCACTGTTAGGAAACAGCTTTTTACGGGTGTCACATAGTTCTGAGGGTTTTGTGAGCTGAGGCACTGACCGCCTGTGCTGGGGACTATCTTTCCCAGAGGCAACATGGAACAGTTTTCTTTTTCTTCCTGTCCACGCTGAGCGATGCTGGGGCCAATCACATCCCGGCCTTGCCCGCAGCCCGTTAGGGGGCGCCACAGGAGGGCCGCGGGGAGCCTAGATAGGACAGACAGACTGCTTCCTCCTGCTGTCTGTGGCGCCCTCTGGGGGCTTCCTGTGGCCTGGCCGTCTCCGGGGCAGCACTCCGTGCCCACCGGGGCAGCTCCTCCCCACCTCGGCCGCCGGCCTGCAGGTTTGCCGCACCGGAGGCGGCCCGCTGTGCGCCCAGGGGCCCGGGCAGCTGGGCACTGAGGTACAGCGTCTGACCCACACGTTCAGGTTAGTGACCCCACCTCCGGCCCCTCAGCTCCTCCCGCCGCTGGAAGTTGCTCTCTGATTCTGATACTTCTGTGAGCCTTAGCCGCCTTCTTTATACTTTTTGTAACGTAATTAACAACTTGAAACCTAAGTGTCATTTTTTAAGTTGACTTCGTATAGGCCACTGGTATGTCTCCTGGGGCCCACCTGGGGCCTGAGGGAACGAGTCCTCAGAGGCCATTTGTGGAGGCTGGTTTGGGTTCGAGCGCAGCACTGGCTCCGCGGCCCTGGGAAGCAGATGCTGATCAGCAGGTTACCCCTTGGCGGAGGCCCAGCGGCTGCTCCCTTGTATGGCAGTGATGGCTGTAAGGCTGCTGTGCGGGATGGATACTTCTAAGTGTCCCAGAAACGATCACAAGCTTAGGTCTTCTTTATTTTTTTAAATTATTTTAATCCTCACCCGAGGACATGCCTAGAGACAGGAAGGGAGGGAAAGAGGAAGGGACAGGAGAGAGAGAGAAAGAGGGAAAAACCCTCAATCGGCTGCCTCCTGCATGCTCCCTACTGGGGATTGAGCCAGCAGCCACCTGGTATGTGCCTGAACTGGGAATCAAATCGGCAACTTCTCAATGCATGGGACAACTCTCACCATCTGAGCCACCCCAGTAGGGTGGGATGGACATTTCTGAGTGCCCCAGGCCCCTTACAGAAACAAAATCACAAGCTTAGGTATTTTAATTATAATTAATTAATTAATTAATTTTTAAATTCTCACCTGAGGATATACTAGAGAGAGGGGAGGACGGGAGAGAGACAGACAAACAGACAGTCAGACACGAGAGAGAAACATCTACTGGTTGCCTTCTGTACAAGCCCTGGCAAGGAATTGAACTGTCAACTTTTTTTTTTTTTTTTTTTTTTTTTTTTTTTTTTGTGCACCGTTCCCGGAGGTACTGCAATACCGGGTCGATGCGTGGAGTGGACAGAGCAAGCTCCCATTCCAACTCCCAGCTTCAAAAATCCATTTAATATATTGTCCTCTGATAGAGGACGTATCAGATATTAAACTGATAAGAACAGATACTACACTTGATCTTAGCCAAAAGACCGAGAAGCGATGAACTGTCAACCTTTTGATGTGCAGGATGGCGCTCAGCCAACTGAGCCACACTGGCACCAGCTTAGGGCTCTTATTTATTTATTTTTATTTATTTTAAAAAATATATTTTATTGATTATTTTACAGAGAGGAGGGGAGAGGGATAGAGAGTTAGAAACATTGATCAGCTGTTTCTCTGTTATTTATTTTTTAAAATATATTTACTGATTTTTTTTACAGAGAGGAAGGGAGAGGAATAGAAAGAGAAACATCGATCAGCTGCCTCCTGCACCCCCCCACTGAGGATGTGCCTGCAACCAAGGTACCTGCCATTGACCAGAATCGAACCCGGGACTCCCCTGTCCGCAGGCAGATGCTCTACCCACTGAGCCAAACCGGTTTTGGCCCAGCTTAGGGCTTTTAAATGTTTAGCTCAAGTCATGGTCAGAGAACCAGTGCACTTTTGTGACTGCCCTGAAGGAATCAGACATTTACAGTCTGAGGGCTAAGGTAGCTGAAAATTGAATAGCATTTCATCATGTGACTGCAGAATTACCACGTCCATTGGATTCAGTCTCTTCAGGTCTTTTGTATGAAAGGGCATTTGGTGGAGAAAAAAACTATGAATGAGGGAATCTGGACTCAGATGAAGCTCAAAACCACAGCTTTCTCGTCACTCAGCCTCCCAGCAGCTGGCCTCCCTACGCCAGAGGAAACGGACCGATTCTGTTTGAAAACGCCGTAATGACATGCCTGGTCAGTGTCCATTCTCCACTCATCCAGCTGACCCACTTTTACCTGCGACCCATCGCTAGGATCTCATCACTTTAGCAAAGAAAGCACAAACTGACTAGAAGAAACAGCTTATGCACAAGAACTACAATATTTTGCTAATAAATACAGGCAGAGCCTGGGGAATGTGTGTGGAAGTGGATTCTAAGAATAAAATGTAGGATAGACTATAACACTAGTTTGGGTCAAATTTACTGATCTGGGTGCACTTGTATATTCTGAGTTTGATGTGTTAGCACATATAACAGGACATGACTCTATACTTGGTTGGTTATTGAAAGCAAACTCAATGGTTACCTCTGTTTAATGAAGTTGAAATGTCTAAGCTTCCCTGGAATTATGTGAAAGGAACCCGAAGACTGACAGAGAGAGGATTGTTGGGGTACACACCTCATGTGACCTGCAGACCACCCCTTACCTTCTCCAACTACCTCCCTCGGGAGACCAGCTAGAAATAACGAGTATTTAGCATACCTCACAGTGTCTGGGGGTCAGGGGGGGGCTCAGGAGGGTGCTGCTGGCTCGGGGTCTCTCAGGAGGCTGCAATCGAGACAGTGGATGATGCTGAGACTGCCTTATCTGGCAGCTTGCCTGGGGCTGAAGGCAGGAGGTCTCAGTTTCTCACCACAGCCTCTCCATAGCAGTTTGAGTGCCTTTACAATCATGGCAGCTGCCTTCCTCTAAAGACAGTGACCCAAAAGAGAAATCGAGGCAGAAAAGACACAAGTTTGCCCTGGCTGGTAAGCTCCTTGGTTAGAGCATCGGCCTGCACACCCAAGGGCTGCAAGCTCGATTCCTGGTCAAGGGTACATACCTGAGGTGCAGGTTCGATCCTGGCCCCAGATGGGGCATGTGCGGGAGGCAAACAGTCAATGATCTTTCTCCCCTTCCCACCATCTCTCCATTTTATTTTTTTAAAAAATTTTTAAGATATATTTTATTGATTTTTTACAGAGAGGAAGTGAGAGGAATAGAGAGTTAGAAACATTGATGAGAGAGAATCATGGATCAGCTGCCTCTTGTACACCCCTTACTGGGGATGTGCCTGCAACCAAGGTACATGCCCTTGACCGGAATTGAACCCGGGACCCTTCAGTCCCCAAGCCGACGCTCTATCCACTGAGCCAAACCGGTTTCGGCCATCCTTCCACTTTAAAATTCAATGGCAAAAAATATCCTCAGGTGAGCCGAGACCGGTTTGGATCAGTGGATAGAGCGTCGGCTTGGGGACTGAAGGGTCCCAGGTTCTATTCCGGTGGAGGGCATGTATCTTGGTTGCGGGCACATCCCCAGTAGGGGGTGTGCAAGAGGCAGCTGATCGATGACTCTCTCTCATCGATGTTTCTAACTCTCTATCTCCCTTCCTCTCTGTACAAAATTAATAAAATATATTTTAAAAAAATATATCCTCAGGTGAGGATTAACAAAAAAAGAAAGAAAGAAAGAAAGAAAGAAAGAAAGAAAGAAAGAAAGAAAGAAAGAAAGAAAGAAAGAGAAAGAAAAAAAAGAAAGCAAGCCGCAAGTTCGTGGCTCGGCCTCGGCAGTGAGGTTGTATTCCACTGATCACACAGACCAATGAGGACACAGTGTGGCGGGGCCCACACAAGGGCCAGGCCACCACATGGGCCTGGAGAACTATCTGGAAAGCCGTCCGTCACGACGACTGTGCCTCCCACCAAGTCTATCCCCTTCCTTCTCCATAGACACTCTCCTCAGGCTTCTGAGGGCCAGGCTCGGGGGAGGTTAGGTTTGCCGAGATTTGGTTTATGAATCTGGGGAATATGTTGAAGTGAGAGGCTAAGAACCATCTGAAGAATTTTTCAGAGAAATTTAGACTGTGCATTTCTCTCCCACATGGAAGCTTCTAGGGGCACCATGGATCTGTTTGGAGACATAGAAGATATTTCCTCCCAGAGTGATAGTGACAACCAGCCGCCCGGTGCAGGACAGCCTGTTGTAAGTACCATCTCTAATCCCAGCCGGCCCGCTGCTCAAAGCGAAGGGAAATGTCCGAGGGCCTGACTCTCCCGTGTGGAGAGAGCACAGGGAGAACGGAGCCGCGGTCTGAAACATCGGCTCAACGGGTGACTTCTGAGCTACGATGAGAATTTCTGGATACTACGGGGCACAAAAGGAACTGCTTAGAATGAGTCTGATGTCAAGCTTTAGACTGTCGGGACTCAAAATTTTAAAAACCTTTGATTTAAAAGTTATTCAGGCCTGTGCCAATTGTAATAGTTACTTAGCCTTGAATTGCATAATTCAATTACCAGGATTGCATAATTTCACATTTCTATTGTTAAATATCTTATGCAAGCTTGCTATGTCAGCAAAATAGACTTTTTTTTTTTTTTTTTTTTTTTTTTTTTTTTTCCTGTTAATGCAGGCTACTAACGCTTGCAAATATTGTGGTGGGGGTAGGAGAATAGAGGATGAAACTTTAGGGAAAGGTTTGGAGGGTTGCTGACTGCTTTATCCCTAAACTGGTGCGCGGGGCGGGCGGCACTGCAGCGTCACGTCCGGCTCTCCTCCAGGATGGGCGGCCCCGGGCCCGGCGCGGGCAGCAGCCGGTTTCTGACTCCGGGATGGAAGTAGAAACGCCGTTCTTCAGACCTGACCTGGGACATGAACTGCACTTCGTGAAGCTGCCCCGATTCCTCAGCATAGAACCCAAGTGAGAGAGCTGATTCACGTTTTCTTTTTCTCAGGATACTGAATGAAAATATGTAGAATGTAAATGTGTTTTCTTACTTACCATGAGTTGGTGAATCCCAAAGATCGGAGATTTCTCACCTAATGAAAAAATAAGTTATGATGTTCTGGGTAGAAAAATGATGGATCACTGGTGTGTGAGATTTTGTTGTTGTTGTTGTTAACATAGAGTTTCTGATGTGAGTTTCTTTTTTAACCTTTTAAAAAAATATATTTTTATTGATTCCAGAGAGGAAGGGAGAGGGAGAGAGAGAGAGAGACATATCAATGATGACAGGAAATCATCGATTGGCTGCCTCCTGCACACCCCTTACTGGGAATCGGAGCTCACAAACCTGGGCATGCGCCCTTGACCAGAATCGAACCCAGGATCTTAGCCCACAGGCCGATGCTCCATCCCCAGAGCCAAACTGGCTAGGGCTGATGTGAGTGAGTTTTAATGCTAATAATTCTTGTAACGTTTAGGCACCTTTCTTATAAATAAACAGATGTCACAGCTGACAAAGGAATTTTTTGTTAGTCTGTAAAGCTTAAAAACCAGAAAATGAGAGTGAGGAAGTTTGCTAGAGAAATCGCAAATGTTCAATATGAAAGCTATCGTGAATCTAGAAAAAAATGATTTGGGACAACAAAAGGTTGTTAATTGGTATTATTCACAAAGGTGCACCAGTGCAAGCAGTTAAACATGACATTTATTTTTTTAAAAACATGTTTTTATTGGTTTCAGGGAGGAAGGGTGAGGGGAGAGAGAGAAACGTCAATGATAAGAGAGAATCACTGATCGGTTGCTCCTGCATGTCCCACACTGGGGATCAAGCCCACAGCCCAGGCCTGTGCCCCGACTGGGAATCAAACTTTGATCCTCTAGTTCACATGTGTCAAACACAAGGCCCGTGGGCCAAATCCGTCCCGCCAGGCCTTGCAATGTGGCCCGCACCGCGCTGTCATCACTGCACTCCGCTGCGTTTCCATTCACAATGACAGTTTATGACTGTTCAGTAAACCATTCGGCCCGAGATTTAGGCTGGATTTTAGATTTTGGCCCCTTCTCTGATTGAGTTCGACACCCCTACTCTAGTTCATAGGAGATAACCACTGGGCAATCCTGGCCAGGCAACATGACACTTTTCTTTAGAAATATGGAGAGACAGATTATGTGTTACCTATAATTAGAAGACATTTTATCAAGCAAAGAAGAATTTGAATTATTTAGTCATGTTTGGATTTTCTTTCTTTTTTAAAAATATATTTCTTTATTGATTTCAGAGAGGAAGGGAGAAGGCGAGAGAAAGAGAAACATCAATGATGAGAGAGAACCATTGATTGGCTGTCTCCTGCACACCCACCAGAGATCAAGCCCACAACCCAGGCGTGTGCCCTTGGCCAGAATCAAACATGGGACCCTTCAGCCCTCAGGCTGATGCTCTATCCACTGAACCAAGCTGGCTAGGGCTAGATTTTATTTCATGGAATATATTTTTAAATAAAATTTCAAGAGAGTACAGTAATTTTTAAATTTCCTTGAAATTTTTACATAAAATGATTCGCCTACTGGATTTTTGAAAACACATTGGTACATGTTGTTAAGATTATAATTTGTAGTATTAATCATATTTATTACTAAATATGGCTAATCAACATTAAAAACAATTTTTAGACCTTTTGATCCTCAGTATTATGAAGATGAATTTGCAGATGAGAAAGTGCTTGATGAGGAAGAGAGAACCAGATTAAAAATAAAGGTAAAGTTCACTTTAATCCTTTCTTTTGGTAAGTTTTCCCTTTTTATAAAGTAAAATACAGGGATAATAACTTGAGACTTGAGCTTATGAAATGATCTTTCATATTTACTATTCAATCGATAAATAGCAGTTTAGAACAGGAATTAAATGCCTTTTCAGAATGCCTGAAGAATTGTCACTTTCCTAATCTTTTATTTGTAGTTGTAATTTTTTGACAAAAGACAAAATTTCTTGAAAATTATTGGCTCTCTCTTTCTGAATAAAGATAATGTAGTGAGGGCCGCGGAACTGCCTGCACGTCTCACAATGGAGAGATCCCAGCAACTTCCCACAACAGAACTACCCAGGCCCTTCCTGGGAATTCAGACTGTGCACAAAAAGGGACCTTGTCATTAGGCAGCTCCTCTCGGGATGGCCAAGCACTACCATTGCTCTCACAGGGGTTTCCATGAGCTTTTGCAGGAGCTCCAGTAGTGGCCGTGAACAGGATCCATTTTTTTGTTACTTTTGTGACTTGTAGTTTTCTACCAAATGGGAAGGGTAAACTTGAACTTTTAGTATTAGTTAATGGTTTATTCTTTTAAAATGTCATTTAATGGAATGTCCAGAGCTTTTTAAAAAATATATATATTTATAGATTTCAGAGGGAATCATTGATTGGTTGCCTCCTGCACGCCCCTACTGGGGATTGAGCCCACAACCCAGGCATGTGCCCTTGACTGGAATCGAACTCAGAACTCTTCGGTCCACAGGCCAACACTCTATCCACTGAGCCAAACCAGCTAGGGCCAGTTGTCTTATTAGGCTAGGGGGCACTTCTTTAGTCCTTCTTTCATTGGGTTCGAGGCCCTTCAGGTGGCCCTGCAATAGGCGGACGTACCGGTTCGAACTGCCTGTTCAGGTGGACCCAAAGCCTCACGCTGTCTCCCTTGAAGCTCTTGATGTGCTGAGAAGAACTCCTTCCTGCATCGCATTTAGTGTCTGCTTCCCCTGCTCTGAGCTGGAGCTCAGAAAAGATTTAAACAAAATGTGTGGTTAGATTAACCAACATCTCTAGGTTCTTGGAGCTGGAAGGTTGCAGTGTGGCCCAATCAGCTATTTTATTTTTTATTTTTTGGAAGCCTATTCTATCACTACCTATGGATTCTTGGCACATGATCATAAGTCACTCAAGGAGTAAAACACATGCAGTGCCCTAGGCAGTTTGGCTCAGTGGATAGAGCATTGGCCTGTGGACTGAAGGGTTTGATTCCTGGTCAAGGGCATGTATCTCAGTTGCATGCTTGATCCCAGCCCTGGTTGCGGCATGTACAGGAGGCAACCAATTGACATGTCTCTCTCGCATCGATGTTTCTCTCTGTCTCTCCTCCTCCCTTCCATTCTCTCTAAAAATCAATAGGAAAATACCTGTGGGTGAGGATTAACAAAAAAAGAAAGAAAAAGAGCATGCAGCTTGTCACACTGGGTGCCTAATGCCTTTGTGTTCTGAGCCAGGTAGAAAACACCATGCGATGGAGGTTACGCCGGGACGCAGAGGGAAATGAGGTTAAAGAAAGCAACACGCGGATGGTGAGGTGGTCAGACGGAAGGTGAGCGCAGATGCCCAAGAGGGCGGCCTGCTGTGAGTGTGACCTTATTTTGGGGTCATCTTTCATTAAACCATGAACAAACTCTAAGCCTCTGGGAAAGCTGGGAAAAATAAACAGGGTTGCAATCATGGTGCTGCATTGGTGGGAGACATTACTATATATTTTTAAAAATATATTTTTATTGATTTCAGAGAGGAAGGGAGAGGGAGAGATAGAAACATCACTGATGAGAGAGAATCATTGATTGGCTGCCTCCTGCATGCCCCCTACTGGGGATTGAGCCCGCAGCCCAGGCATGTGCTTTTTAATTTTATTTTATTATTATTTTTTATTTATTTATAAGGCATGTGCTTCTGACCAGTCCACAGGCTGATGCTCTATCCACTGAGCAAAACCAGCTGGGGCTGGTGGGAGACCTCAGAAATGGTCCCAGATGTGATCAAATTCATGATGTCTAGCTACTGTTAGCTCCACGTGTGAGCTATGAGACATTATACACTGAGTGGCCAGATTATTATGATCTCTGATCACATAATAATGTGGCCACTCAGTGTATATCCTATAAACTAAAAGTCTAATATGCAAATTGTCCTCTCTGTATATATATATAATACACACACACACACACACACTCATACTGAGTGGCCTGATTTACCAATGAAGTGGTAGATATTGGGAAGATGACAAAGCAACTATATTTCGAGCTGAAAGGAGGTGGTTTTCTACCACCGTTTGCTTTGGAAGGAGGTAGGCTGGTTATTTACAGCATCTGTTCTGAGGGATCGGGATGAGGACAGGGCCCTGCATTTTAAGTGAAGCGGCCAGGGTGGCGCGGGAGCGGGAGCACCGGTTGACCAGCCGCCTAACGCCGCCTGCCTCTGTTTGCAGCCTGTCCCTGCACTTAGGCAGCGAAGTGTTCGATGTCTACAAAGCCCCACTGCAGGGCAGCCTCAGCCACCTGTTTGTGAGAGAGGACACCGGCCTGCAGGGACAAGCCGTCTTCAAATCCAGGCTCACCTTCAGGTAATTCCTCAGACTGGTGCCTTGTTATTATTTGCAGTTAAAGAGCAATAAGGAAGAGAGAAGTTGTGCAAAAAGCCCAACTCAGCCCTGATGACCTGGTTTGGAGGGCTGTGCACATCGATATATATAAAAAGCCAGTGACCATGGTCTGGTTCCCGTCCTATTTTTCACCTTTGCTGCAAGTTGCAGTTTCTCAGGGGCCAGCCCCTGCCCTCAGACCACAGGAGGCAGCGTGTGAGCCAGAGGCCAGAGTATGGACTCACCTTGGTCAGTGAACCTCTGGAGAGGCCTAAACACCTGTCGGTGCTGCTCTGCTGGTCAGCGTGTGCTTTCCCTTTCCCAGAATGCACCGGGAAGCTAACTGGTCATGCGTGTGCTGGCGTGTGCTGCAGTCCAGGGAAGGGAAGAGTCAGATGGGGTGACAGGCTGCTCCTGACCCCGAGCAGGCCCAGTGCCGCGGTCTGTGCCTCGGCCCTCCCCTGGGCGCGCGCCGGCCCTCTCCCCGCCCCCCTCTGGGGGCACTGAAAGGCCGTAGCAGCGTGCACAGGGCTTTTCTTAGGGCTCATGGGAAAGCTCTGCGATCAGATGGCTCCCGTGCAAATCAGATGGTTGTTGCTCAACTTTGTAAATTAAAAAATTTACTAAATGGTATATTTAAATGGGTGAATCTTATGGTAAGTATCATGTTGTGCAGAGACTTGATAAATCTGTTGCTCTGTTTATTTTACTTATTTGTTTATTTATTTTTAGAGAGAGTGAAAGTGAAGGGGAGAGACAAAGAGAGAGAAACATCAATGTGAGAAAAACACATTGACTGGTTGCCCGGACTAGGCTAGGGATCGAGCCTGCAGCTGAGGTCCGTGCCCTTGAATGGAATGGAATCTGAGACCCTTTAGTCCACCAGCTGACGTTCTATCAACTGAGTCAAACTGGCTAGGGCTGCTCTGGGTTTTTAAAAAATTTGTTTCATTTCATTATTATTGACAGTATTACAGATGTCCCCCATTCCACCTCACCCCTATTACCCCCTCTACCAGCTTCCACCCTGCCCCAGGCCTTCACCACACTGCTGTCTGTGCCCATCTACATATATAAAAAGCCAGTGGCCGGAACAACCAGAATGACCAGTCACTATGACGCCCACTGCAGCCAGTGAACTGGCCCGATTGGGGAGGGGGGGTGTGAGCTGGCCAACCTCCTGCAGCCCCTCCCCCCAACTGGCCCTGCCGCTGATGGGCCCCCACCACTCTGGTTGGCCCTCGGCCCCTCCCCCATAGTCAGCTCCACCTCCAATCAGACCCCCAACTCTGATCAGGAGCAGGGCTAGCTGGCCAACCATCCATGGCCCCTCTCCCAGGCTCCTAGACCCCAGTCCTCCCCCCCCCCCCACTCCATGCAGAGCAGGGCCGGCTGGCCCACTACCAATAGCCCTCCCTAAAGCTGGCCCCACCCCTGATCAGCCCCCACCACCCTGATCAGCCCCTGGCCCCTCCCCCCACCAGCTCCACCCTCCATCACCCCCCAACACCAATCAGGGATGGGACTGGCTGGCCAACCTCCCCCAGCCCCTCCCAGGGGTGGGCCGGCCAGCCAACCTGCCGCTGTCTCCTCCTCCTGACAGGCCTGGCCCCAATCCACTGATCAGGGCTGGGTTGGCCTGACCCCACCCATGCGCGAATTCATGCACTGGGCCTCTAGTATGCATGTAAGTTCTTTGGTTAATTTGTCAGTCTGTTCCATGCATCATCCTCCGGACCTATTTGTTCATCAGTTTACTCTGGGCTGTGTTTTAAAGACAGTTAATGGTGGTTCTGAGGTTGCGCGCTTCCCGTCTGACCATGTAAGCCTGAGGAGGAGTCTCAATCTCACAAAGGTTTGGTTTCCTCATCTATCACATGGACACATCTGCTTCACAGGGATGTTGTTAAAGTCAAATAACACATCATACAATCATGTGGTGCAGACCTGGCACACTCTCTGTGGCTCAGACCATCCCCCTGATGGTCTCGGCTGTGGCACCCTAAAGGACAGGGATCTGTGTGTTTCCCACCGTGCCCACGCTCCCGCTGGGACAGCACTTCCCTGTCCACCACCCCTTCCCTCCTCGCGTCCCTTCTCTCACAGCCACGCTCTCCTCCGAGGCTCCCTCCTGAGGAGCATCCTTTCTCCTCTCTGCTGCACTTACCTGCCTTCCGTTAGCCAGGGTGCAGGGCCTCCTGTCCCACGGTGGCCCCTGAGCGGCCAGGAGGCCCCCGGACCCTGTGACCCTCCCCCTTGCTTTGACCTTCCTCCCGATTTTACTCAGAGGCAGGGACTCATCCTCAGTTCTGAAACTGGGCCTTCCAGCCCTTGCGCCTCCTCATGGAACTGAGCTTCCCCTCCCTTCTCTTCTAGGATGGTGGTCGGGGTTTTCTTTGTAAGAGCCCTGACCCTGCCTCGGCCTCTCCTCCTCCGCTCCCACTTCCCCCCTCTGGCTCTGCGGGGGGCGGGCGGAGGGAGGCACTCCTGGGAGCCAGAGAACGAGGGGGTGCAGAAGCCGGGGCCTGCTGCTCTGCTCCCGGGCGGTGGCCATTGTCCACAGCAGTGTGTGTGCTACGATTGTCTTCGGTGATCTTGGCAAACAGGCGTTTTTGTTCCTTTCCCGCAGACCTCACTCCACAGACTATGCCACCCACAGGAAGATGGCCCTGCCTGCTGGCAGGTGCTCCAGGACGCAGAAGATTAGGATCCTTCCGATAGCTGGCTGTGATCCCGAGTCCCAGCGCACCGAGAAGATTAAGGTGTGCTGGCTACGCTGCATCCTGGGATTTGGGGTGTAAAGAGTTGTGCTTTTCACCCTGGCTGGTTTGGTGCAATGAATAGAGTGTCAGCCTGCGGACTGAAAGGTCCCAGGTTCGATTCCGGTCAAGGGCATGTACCCTGGTTGCAGGCACATCCCCAGTAGGGGGTGTGCAGGAGGCAGCTGATTGATGTTTCTCTCTCATCGATGTTTCTAACTCTCTATCCTTCTCCTTCTCCCTTCCTCTCTGTAAATAAATAAATAAATAAATATATGAGTTGTGCTTTCCAGAATATTAATTCACCATTTCTTATTGCCACAGGCAGTGGTTATCAGGGAACAAGCTTAACCTCCTAAACGTGTAGTTAACCACAGTAATGCCAACAGCCACGGGGGAGATAGAGCAAACCAGACACTCAGGTGCTCTCCCTCCAATCTGTGAGGTTTCAGATGAAAACTGATAATTTTTAAAAATGCAGCCTTTGAGAGATATCACAAAATTGGGTTAGCCAGATACGAAGTAATATAGGAAGGTCAAAGGACATTTCTGATTCATTCAACACTGGCCCTGCTTTGTGACCCCCAACATGTGGGATGCCAGGCAGATGAAGGGGGTGAAGGCTCTACTTTGGGGCTCAGGGACAAGGCCCTGCCTGCAGGTTCTCATCCTGAGTCGGGAGCTGAGGGGCCCAGACAGGAATATCTGGGCTCTGTGGTGGTTGGGTGGAGCCTGGCCCAGTCAGGTGTCTGTCTCTTGGGAACAGAAACGGCCTCCCTCAGGCACCAGCTGGGCATGGTGACATGGCTCAGCTGGCCGCTGCTCTCTGGGCTCAGACTGGCAGCACAGGGGACCCGGTGGCTCCCGAGGCTGTGCCTGTGCCAGTTCTGACCGGACGGGGTGAGGGGCCGCCTGCCTCTTCACCCCAGTGTGGCCTTCACGCCTTAGAACTGAACAAGGCAATCGCTGTGTGTGGCTTGGAGAGCTCTGCGCTCTGAAGACATGGGGAATGTATAAAAGTAGGTGCCAATGAGCACAAAAGGTGTTCGTTTTTAAGTTCAGGGGTTTATTTGCTTCTTTACAGAAAGAGAAAGAACGCTTGAGGGCTTCTACTCGCCAGGGGACAATTCGTCATCCTCGTGGGAAGCGGAACCGGCAGGTCCTGAGTGCCCCCTGCCGAGAGTCCAGCAGTGACAGGGAGGAGGAGGAGGAGGAGGAGGAGGAGGAGGAGGAGGAGGAGGAGGAGGAGGAGGAGGAGGAGGGTGAGTAACTCAAAACCAGTCCCAGCGGAACTCGGAGGCGAGTCCCTATGGAGGTGACATTTCATCTGAGCCCCGGTGACTGCTTCTGCTCTGGTGGGCTCTTATTCCTGGACTGCTGTTACTTAGAGGATAGTACAAAGGTCTCTTATTATTGTTATTTTAATAATTCTTTATTAGTGAAACTATTGCACATGTCCCCCTTTTCCTCCTACAGACTCTCTCCAGCCCACCCCTGGCCCCCGTCCCAGGCCCTCAGCACCCTATAGTCTGTGTCAATGGGTTATTTTTGTTGTTGTTAGGACCACTTTCCCATAGAAAAGCTGAGCTGGGAAACAAAGGCAAAATAAAGGAAATGAAATAATTCTGTCCTATGCAGGAAAATGTGCAATGGGCAGTTTGCTTGTTTGTATAATTAAGGACCCAATACTTAAACTTGGCAGTTAAAAAAAAAAAAAAAGTGTGTCCTTTAAGCCTCATAGGTATGTAAAGGTGATCAATCTCTCTGAGAACAAAACTTCTCAAATCTAAGTTATTTCTGAAAGTCATACAGGGGCGGGCAGAAGTAGGCTGGCAGGTATTTGCGTGGAGGAAGACCTGCAGAGTGTGGCTATCACAGGAGCTTTGTTAACACAACAGAGCAGCGGGGTGCCCTCAGCCCCTACCTCACAGGCGCTCAGTCGCCGGCCTTCGTGATTGACACGCTCCTCCGAGGTCTACTTGCGAAACTCAAGCACACGTTGGCACAGAGTGCTCCCCTACTTTTGCCCACCTCTGCTCATACTTCTCCTCAAAACTTTAAAGAAAACTGCCGCTCCCCAAGGGAAAATGTACAGTGGGAAGTGACAGGATTCAGAAGAAACATTCAGGCCAGGACCGGTTTGGCTCAGTGGATAGAGCGTCGGCCTGCGGACTGAACGGTCCCGGGTTCGATTCTGGTCGGGGGCATGTGCCTTGGTTGCAGGCACATCCCCCGTGGGGCGGGTGCAGGAGGCAGCTGGTCGATGTTTCTCTCTCACCGACGTTTATAACTCTCTGTCCCTCTCAATTCCTCTCTGTGTAAAATCAATAAAATATATTTAAAAAAAAAAAAAAAAAGAAGAAAAATTCAGGAAGAAATGGGTCTTGGAGGGCCAGTCTCATGCTCCAGTTCCTTTGCTTTCAGAGGAACCGGCCAGAACCTATTCGGCAGACAGCGATGCAGGATCGGAAGAAGAAAAGCCTCCAGGATTACTGAGCAAAGCAACTCACCAGGGATGAGGTAAGAGCAAACACATTCCATTCCCAAGGGTTGGCCCCGTACCCAGGAGCCAGCCTCTCAGGAGGAGCTTGTAGCCGAGGCTCCCACAGGCGGCCAGCACTCGGCTGGAGCTCAGTGAGCGGCGGCAGCACAGGCCGGGGCCTGGCCCTCGGGTGGGAGCGTGTTGGCTCGCAGGGCACACGGGCACCAAGTCTTGTCTGAGAACTAGGAACATTCAGTGTGGGAGAGAGAGCAAGGGGTCTACCACGTTCCTGTGGCAACTGGGTGTCTTTGTTATTTGGGTATAATGGTAGTGGAGCGTTATTTCACTTCCATGTTATTATAATGTTTTTTTCCTTTAATTATTTCCTTTGTCATGTAGAGGATCATCAGTGCAAAGATTTTTATTTTTTTATATATATTTTATTGATTTTTTTTACAGAGAGGAAGAGAGAGGGATAGAGAGCCAGAAACATTGATGAGAGAGAATCATTGATCAGCTGCCTCCTGCACAACCCCACCGGGGATGTGCCCGCAACCAAGGCACATGCCCTTGACCGGAATCGAACCCGGGACCTTTCAGTCTGCAGGCTGACGCTATATCCACTGAGCCAAACCGGTTTCGGCAGTGCAAAGATATTTTATGTCTCAACTATGCAAGTGAATCACTACGTTAGTGCCCATAAGCCATATTTATTCCTTCAGTGTTCCACTCCGTGTTCTGGAGATAGAGATGGGAGTAAATGTCACAGTAACAGGGATGTTCAACTTAATAGGGGTCACTTGTCTAAGAGAGGCATTCATTTCACTCATTCATATATAAATGTATATTTCAAATTTTAAAAGCACACAAAACACCAGTCCTTTAAAAAAATCGGTGGGCTTTAAAGTGCTGAATTTTAGAGAGTAAAGTACTAAGGAAGCGGACAAATGCATCTCAAGTATAATATTGTCGAGATCCTAGATGGTAGAGCGAGGAGTGCCCCTCTGTCCAGGGGGAGCACGGTTTCCATCGCCTGACCCGCCGGACAGGCCACCTGTAGGGGGTCGAGTTCTCAGTGAAGGCTGGCTCCTCAGTCAGTGAAGGACTACTTTCGACAAAATTGCCAGGAACTGTTTGGTACTGAATTTTACCTCTTGTCTCTCATATTTTTCAGGTGAACCCTACAGAAGCAGGAAAGCAGGGGGAGAAGAGAAAGATGACAGACGCATAAAACCTGCACTCATTATCTGTATTGTTTTCAACAGTTTGTTTTTTAATATGTATTTTTTAATTGATTTCAGAGAAGAATGGAGAGGGAAAGATAGAAACCTCAGTGATAAGAGAGAATCCTTGATTGGCTGCCTTCTGTACGTTCCCTACTGGGGATTGTACCCTTGACAGGAATCAAACCCGGGACTCTTCAGTCCGTATGCCAACACTCAATCCAAACTGGCTAGGGCTCAACAGTTTGTTTTAAAACAATGATGAAATGTCTTGTTTTGTTTGATGAATTGAGTTATTTTTGCATAATCCCAGTTGTGAATAAAAAATGTTCAGAAGCAAGTCTATGACTTTAGAAAATCCAGTTTGTGTTTGCTCTGGATCTTAGGTTTTTTTTTCCTTCCTGCCCTCTGCCTCATCCCATCCCCAGAGGTAAGCTTGAGTTTAGCTCTGGTACTGCCCCCCCTGGGATGTCCTCCCTGTTCTGCCAGCTGGGCCAGGCCCTTCTGTGCCCCGGGTCAACTTTCCATTGACCACCGAGCCCTGGATTATGGAAGAGCAGGCACAGCATGGGAGGGCTCACTGGACACGGGGTGCTGTATGGGCCCTACAATTTTTAAAAAAAATATATTTTATTGATTTTGTACTGAGAGGAAGGAAGAAGGATAGAGTTAGAAACATCGATGAGAGAGAGTCATCGATCAGCTGCCTCTTGCACACCCGCTACTGGGGATGTGCCCGCAACCGAGGTACATACCCTTGACCGGAATGGAACCCGGGACCTTTCAGTCCCCAAGCCGACGCTCTACCACTGAGCCAAACCGGTTTCAGCTGGGCCCTACAATTCTAATCCTCACAACAACTTGAAGGACAGGGCTGTTATTCCCATTTTACAGATGTGGAAGCTGAGACTTAAAGAACTTGACTGCTGTCCAAAGCCTTTTCTTCCCAAGTAAAGGAAAATCGGCATTTTTGAGGTGAGGCGGATTTTCTATGCACAGCCACGATACTGAGCAGATGTATTAGTGGCTTTATGGAGAAACTAGAGGCCCGAAACTCGTGCAAAGGTCTTAGGTCTCGCAGCCAGGCAGCTTGCCTCGGCCCTTGCAGCTCTGACCAGAAGGATATCTGGTCTAATTGGCATATTATGCTTTTATTATTCTAGAAGAGCAGTGGGAAACAAAACCAGATCCAACTTCTAACTTTGTGGCTGGTGTAGCTGGAATGCAATAGGTACCTTAATAAGTATTTACCGAATGAGCAAACCATCGGTAATATCTTGGGCAAATTACTTCTCTGAGGTCAGATTCCTCAACTAAGGGGTACTTGGACTTGACCATGTAAATAGTTCCTGATTTAATGTTTATATTCCTCTGCCTCCGAGAATTGAATGTTAATTAGAAACATCTTTAAAGATGTTTTATTGCTAAATAGAAAAGGTCTGAGAAAAAGGATCCATTATCTCATTATGTGGAAAACCTGGATTCATCTGTTTCCCTCTTTTATAATTTCAGATGGACACTGAGCTGATCTGCAGTCACTATCCGTGTCCTCCCGTCCTACCTCCCCTGCTCACTCCATGATGCCTGGCCTCGCATGTCCCAATGTGTGTGTCTTTCAGGCATGCTTATGTTGACAGGGGATTCTTTGTTGAGTTTTAATTGTCCAACTCGTAAATCTAAGGAAGGAAACAATGGAGCCTTCTCTCTCCACTGACGGAGGTCACTCAGGTCGGCTGTTCTTTACAGGGGGTGGTGGCCCCAGAGGCTCTGCTGTCTCTGCAAACAGACGGGGGTGGGATTTACGCCAGGTCTCCAGGCCCTCAGCCTTGGCGGGTGTGCAGGACAGTGTAACATCTGGATAAAAGATGTTTGGTGATCTGGGGCCCACGTGTGGTCGGCCACTCATTTGGTACCTAAAGAAGCAGGGTGCTGCTTGGCTGAGCACAAAGGCACTCTATCCCCTGGCCACAGTGCCGGGCACCACCTCCCCCTGAGCTCCCAGGAGCTAACGTTACCTGATGACTCAAGCGCCGGAGCCTCCCACTTACCAAACGGGACAGGCATCGAAGCTTCTGGTAGGTGAGCGTACCCCACAGCCATCCTCAGAGGCCAGCGACATTAAAGATTCAAGGGGAATGTTTTTATTCTTCTAAGTTTCAGAACTGTGAAAATTTTAAATTACATTGACATTTATCCCTAAAAGTTTCCCCAAACCCATTACACGTTTCACTGATTTTCCCTTTTGGTTGGTGGACATGGGTGGCTGATAAGAGGTACCTTTGCTGTAACGTAAAAATCATCTGCTCTATGACACCCAGTCAGGTCACAGGACCCCGTTTCTTCACATTTGTCAACTCAATTCAGTTTTATGGATGGCATTAGATTGAACCATATGAAATTCTATTTTTGTGGGTAAGAATGTTCAGGTGTTGAAGTGTGTAAAGAATGAACATTAGAACATTCAAATTAAAGGGATTTTTAAAAAGTCACAGTCTATAGGATATTTGATAAACTTTATTGAAATTATTTATTCCAGAAAGAAGTGGTAAGTTCTAAATGCCTATAGTACATGTTCCTCAAAAGAAATTCCTCTGTGCTATTATGAACCAGGTTAATAATATTTCATATTTAGACATCAATATTATAAAAATTAACACGCTTACATTTAAAAAGTTGAAAAAATAAAACATCTACAGCATTTTGGATATTTTAGCATTAAAAAATGTATTTAAATACCTATTTGCTGTGACAAAGAATGATGCATTGTAACAAGATAATTTTCAAGCTTTTAAACATAATTAAACCCAAATATAATTCATCCAAAAGACAAAAAAATGTAAAATGGGCATTTACTTGAAATTACAAAGATTTTTATGCAGTGTGTGTGTGTGAGCATATGTATATGTGCCATTTTAAAAAAATCCTTCTTAAGCAGACCAGTTGGCCTGAGTCTGAGGGCAGCGTGGGGAGCCGCCCTGCACATCCTTGTGTTTCGCTCTCTGGATGCCATGTCTCCGGTAACACTATTTGGAAGTGAAGTGGCCTCTAGGACATGGTGCTAAGTCAAATAAGCCAGACAGAGGAAGACAAATACTGTGATCTCACTTACGTGAAAAGAGAAAAAAACTCATTGAAACAGAGAACAGATTGGTAGTTGTGAGAGGCACGGCTGGGGATGAAGGATTGGGTGAAGGTAGTCAAAAGGTACAAACCTCAGGTCTGAGATGACTAAGTCCTGGGGACGGAATGTACAGCATGGTGACTGTAGTTAACAATACTGTATTATATATTTGAAAGTCGCTAAGAGAGTAGATCTTAAAAAGTTGTCATCACAAGGAAAAAATTTGTTTAACTATGTGAAGTGTGACAGATGTTCACTAAATTTACTGTGGTGATCATGTCTTATATCCATAGATTAAATTATTATGTTGTATGACTTTCAATGTTATATGAAACACAATGTTAAACGTCAATGATATCTTAATGAAGCTGGAAATACTGTGGCACTGCAAGAAGGAGCGCAGTGGGCGGCACTGAGCTTGCAGGGAATGGAAGCTGCTTGGCCCCGGAAAAAGCCCGCTCCTCGGGCCTGCGTGGAGGTAGCGGTGCTTCCTGGTTTTATGAGGAGGAAGTGAGGCGGCCTGGGAACACAGAGCCCAAAATACAAGATTTTATGAAACCTCATGCATCTTTTCTTCGTATTTTAATGGCAGCAAGGGTTAAATATAATATATAGTAGAACATGACTAACATTTATCAAACATTTTTCTTTTGTAACTTTTTAATACCATGGAATTCCCATTTTAAATGAAAATGCATCAGATATTGTCAATGGAAAAACAATTTACAAAGTTCTATTTACATGTAACTTTTTCAGAATGCACCTACTGTATAAAGTATGTGGGTTGTTTCATTCAAATAATAAGAATTTGCCATTTAATGATTAAGATAATTCTCACTGAAATCTCTAACAATTGGTAGGTGTTTAAAACACAAAATGTTTATTTGGTCTTTTAAATGGCAGGCACTCTTAGAAATTGTATTTCTTCTATACTTTAGACTTATAAATATATAGCACCAAAATGCATTTTAATAATATCAACATTAGTAATTAATATTTTAAAAATACAAGTTCATGTAGACATACTAGAAAAAAATTTGGACAAATATAAATATAAGATTTTATAAAATGGGAAGTTAAAGCTTTAAAAAAAACCTTAGCAATTTCAAAATGCAAATGTTCTTTGATTAGATTACCAGATAAGTTTAAATTTGTTAGACTACAAAATTTAAGTCTTATACATCTTTGGTTTAAAAATCAAGAGTACTTCACAACCCTGATCTAGTATAAAATTTTAGAGCAATGTAGAAATTCCAAAAATTAATAAAAGGCTAAGAGGTGCCATATTTTTAAAGATCAAAGTACATCAGTTTTCTCCCCTGTAGTTACAATTCTCCAAGACTTTTCTATATTCAATTAGATGAATGTTTATCTTTAAAGTTATTTATTAAGAAATTATATAATGAACTACTGTAGCTCAGAACTGGAATGGTACAAGCAAAACACTCAACTTCTTCATACTAAAGATATTATCCATAAGTATGAAATACAATTTTAGGTAAGGGCTTGTCTATGTTAAAAAACAACAACAAACCCATGAGGAGGGAGTAACATCCTAATCAATGTACTGACTCACAGGACAGCGCTGGCAAGGCAGCCTCGCCTCTGCTCCATGTGGCCCCACCTTGCTGGAACAGTGCAGTCTCTAAAATCAAGTATGTGGACTATGAAAGGGAGAGCAAGAGCGAGAGAGAGATAGCGAGAGAGATCAAGAGAGATCGAGAGAGCGAGAGAGAGATCGAGAGAGTGAGAGAGCGAGAGAGCGAGAGCGAGAGAGCGAGAGAGAGAGAGAGAGAGAGAGAGAGAGAGAGAGACTTCCTAATTAAAAAAAAAAAAAAAATCAGCAGCCTATAACTGAAAGGAAATAGTGCAAAGTCAATCTTAGGCCTCTTTAAGAATTAGATACTAATACAAAGCAACAAACACACCCTGTTAAGAAGGTTATACCACAGTACACAGGAGCTGCCCAGTCATTGGTAAACTGTCCACTGTAAGCTGAAGGAGCAGAAAAGTTGTCTTCAAAAAAAAAAAAAAATTGACAACAGACCTGTCTGCTCCTCTGAAATGAGGTTCTCCCTTAGAAAAATGTCCCTGTACATGGTACTGCCGGGCCTGAATTTCTGAGGCCAGGGTTCCTCGGATTCCTCTGGCCCTGTTTTCGGCAGCTCCGGGCCAGAGGCTGCCCTGAAACAGGGCAAGGACACAGGCCCACGTCCTCCCTGGCACTGCGGCCTGGGGTCAGTGCCACCACAGCACACTGTTCACTGTGGCTCTTGGAGTAACAGGAAGACAACTTTGTTATGAGAAATTACTTACACAATTTGGACAAAAAAAGTACACGATAACAGGAAACAATAAAAACTGGGTTTATGAAGAAGAGCAGGTTTCCTGTTTGGAAAATCTGTAGTGAGTAATGATTAAATACGTTTATGGAATCTGCACTGCATACAGGAACACTGATTTATACGCATGCCATGTCTAATTTGCTTTATAGGAACCACCAGTTTAACGGACCGTTTTGCATGCTCCTCAGACTTCACCTCCATCACATTTACTGTAAACACCAGCATTCTTTTTCTCTTACCCTACGTAACCAAGAGTTGGCTATCTGCCTTTTACAGGAAGAGAATAACTTTCCTACTCAGATGCTTTTTACTACGGGCTTTCACAAAAACCTAATGCAGTCCACAGTATGAAAAGGAAACACTGTAATCAGTGTAGACATCACTATACTCTTAACGGTGTTGCTAAACACAGACAAGTGCAGCCACCTGGAATGCATTTTCTTTCGCCTACAGGCCTGCTTTTACTTCTAAACAGATGACTAGATTTTGAGTCACCTGGTATAAAATTCTGGCATTGTGCTTTCTCGATAGAATTTTCCAAGCGCGTGTGTTCTGATGGAAGTCTCTCCCTTCCTGGAATCAGGAAGCTTTGAAGCGCTTGTACCTATGAGGTACACAGCAAGTCTGATATCAGCAATGTCCCTTTTTTCTAACCAAGAGATTTTGGTCCTTAAAATGTTCATATTATTCTACATGTGACTTCCTAATTGTATTTTTTTTTTTAACCAAGACCCAGCATAAACCACTCAATTAAGCTAAATTAAAATTGATTTAAGTAGAAATAATGCTTTAAAATATAAAATATTACCCATTATTGATTTTACAGTTTGAAACTTGTAACTTAAACTAGAAAAATATACATGTAGTTAAAAAAAAAAAAAAAAAAAAGCAAAAAGAAGAATTTCCAGTCTTTTCCCTTCAACCCAGGAAAATTTTATATCTGATATAACCAACATGAGTCCCGATGACCTTCCGAAGTCTCCCGAAGGTTATGTCTCGGCAGGTTATGGGTGGTCTCCTTCCACTCGCTTCTTGCGAACTGTGAGAAAAGTAAAGTTGGAGATTCCTGTTCATTTGTACAAACAACTAGCTTTTTACAAACATGTTTCTGTAAATCCAACCATAGTTGTACAAACATGAAATGTCCATTTCCAATTCACATGGTCATTAAAATAAAAAAGTCACATCCTTTTCCTTATCATTTACCTGCTGAGAAGTGAGAGGTTTCAAAAAAAAAAAGCTTCTCTAATACATTAGCTTAATGGCAGGATTCAGAAATTTGATGTGCAATTGTATGTCTTACCTAAGTCATTGTTTTTCGTTATAGCGTTAGCTGCCCTGGTTCGGGGTCCCTGCTGTGTAAACCGATATCCAAACTTAAGGATATTTGTATTTTCCTCAAGCATCTTCGCCATTTCCAATTCTACAGCTGTCCCCAGCTGTTGCCTCTGGAATATTCAGAAATAAAGAATAGTGTTAATAAACTATATCAAAATACTTTTCTAGGTAAGTCAAGACTAAGACATTGATTGAGGCACATGCTGATTCTGTTGGTATTTTAAAATTTCCCCAATTCTTACAGCATACAAGAGAAACAAAAATTTAAAGTTTAGTATAGATCATACAGACATCAACAAATTGTGGATTTCCATTCTGAGATAGTCTTCATGCCCACAGGATGACTATAATAAAAATGACATAAAATAATAAGGGTTGGCAAGAATGTAAAAAAACCGGGACCCTCAGGCATGCTGGTCAGAATGTGCAATGATGCAGTTGCTGTGGAAAACACATGTTCATACAAGAACCTGTATATATGAATGTTCACATCAGCTTTATTTCTAATATTCAAAAAGCAGAAACAACCCAAAGGTAACAATGTTCTTCAGCCGAAAAAAGGAATAAGTACTCATGTGCTACAACCTGGATGAGCCTCCAGAACGTTTTGCTCAGGGAAAGGCGCAGACACAAAAGACCATGTAGCACACAATTCCATTTATATGAACTGTCTCAAATAGACAAATGCGGACACAGGAAATAGAGTAACGGTTGCCAGGAGCTGGTGGGAGGGATGAATAGGGAGTGACTGCTGGTGGGTATGGAGTTTCTTTTGTTGTTAATCCTTGCCCAAGGATTTTTTCCATTGATTTTTAGAGAGAGTGGAAGGAAAGGGGGGCGGGGTGGGAGGAAGGAAAGGAGGAGGAAGAGGGAAATGCAGAGTGAGAGGGATACAGAAAGAGAGAAACACTGATGTGAGAGAGACACACAGATTGGTTGCCTCCCTCAGGAGCTTCAATCAGGGCCTGGGGTCTGGGATGGGCCTGTAACCCAGGTACATGCCCTTGAGCAGTGCTCAGGCTGACGCTCTACCACTGAGCACACAGGCGGGGCAAATTTCTTTTTGCAATGATAAAAATGTTACGGAATTAGACAGTGGTGATGGTTGCATAGCTCTATGAATATACTAAAGACTCATACTAAAAATATCAATTAATATTAATATTCCAGATGCCTCCAATGTCCTCTCATCCTCTTTCATGCCACCTTCCCAAATAGCTCCCGGAAAGCCCTCCTCCCACCGCCTCCGGAGTCCCCACGCCCTGCGCGCAGTGTGGGCGCAGCTTCCTCAGAGTCCCTGCAGCAGAACACTGACCTGATTGTCAATCTTGAGCTCGGCCAAGGTCTCATTATCTCTTAAAGCATCAATCAGTGCTAGAACCCCAGCTCCTGTGATAAAGTTGGACTCCATATTTAAGCTCTTCAAATTTTTGTTCACTCTCAGCATATCTGCAAAAGCCTAGAAGTTAAACAAAATATTTGGATGTTAAAATCTGATAATTACTAGTATAACTGTATGCACCAATAAACAAATATACTAATTAACATTACTGCCTTAATGTTTCTCATTTGATTGTTTGAGTTTGACACCTACCTCATAGGTCTCACATGTATCCACTTTGCACATGTACCGTCACAATCTTTTTTAAGAAAACATGTTTTTATTAATTTTTATTTATTTTTAAAATATATTTTTTATTGATTTCAGAGAGGAAAGGGGAGGGGGAGAGATATTGAAACGTCAAAGGTGAGATGGTCAGCAATCACACTGGCTGCCTCCTGCACGCCCCACACTAGGGATTGAGCACGCAACCTGGGCATGTGCTCTGACTGGGAATCAGACCGTGATCTCCTGATTCATAGGTCGACGCTCAACCACTGAGTCACACTGGGCTTATTGATTTTTAGGGAGAGCGAGAAACATTCATTGGCTGCCTCCCACCTACGCCCTACCAGGGGCTGAGTCCACAACCTCGGCAGGTGCCTTGCTGAGGAATCAAACCAGCGACCTCGGTATGTGGGGCAATGCCCAACCAACTGAGCAACGCTGGACAGGGGCCCTGTCACGTTCTTTAGATTTTTCTGTCACATGCAATTCTCTGTTGGCAACATTCGCCATTGCTATTTAATCCTCATGCTCATCCACACCCTTTGCCATGTTTTTCTCTTGTCCCTCATCCTTCTGCCAGTTTCTGTGTGGGACTGACTTCATCAATGTCTCTGGAATATTTTTTCCTTATTTAGGTCCTGGTGCAGCTGGATTACTGCGAAGCCAAAATGAGGGTAAATTACGGACTGGTTTCCAAGGCAGAGGTAAAAAGAATGCCTAAGGCAGAAGACCAAAAGAAGGTCACAAATAACTAGAACTGCAAGAGCACAGCGACTACGGAGAAGGGCTACCAAACGCTCATCTCCTCAGGAATGCTTTGTCTGCAGCCTGCTCCCTTCCCTTTCTCACCGGACATGGTAGTGCTAGGCATGTGATCCAGTGCATAATAAACACCTTATTAGCTCTGGCTGTTTTGGCTCAGTGGATAGAGCTTTGGCTGGTAGCCTGAAGGGTCCTAGGTTTGATTCCGGTCAAGGGCACATAGCCAGGTTGCAAGCTTGATTCCCAGTAGGGGGCGTGCTGGAGGCAGCCAATCAATGATTCTCTTTCATTGATGTTTCTATCTCTCTTTTCCTCTCTGAAATCCATTAAAAAAAAAAAAAAAATCCCCACCATATTAATTTACTAAAAGAAGGGAAAAAGGAGAGGGAAAGAGAGAGAGGGATAAGTTAGAATATGAGTAAATTTATATAAAATAGCCCCTTAGAAAGGTCAAACTCTAGAAAACATGTGGAAGGAAGATCCAGCTTAAAGTCAGCTTAAAAGAAAAGGCAATGGGGTTGGTGGTGATAGAATACTATAAGGAATTTGGGCACGTGACAGGGGTAGGAGAGGCTGGGGGAAGATAAAAAAAGAAAAAGAAAAAAAAATTTGGGACAGCCCTAGCTGGTTTGGCTCAGTGGATAGAGTGTTGGCCTGCGGACTGAAGGGTCCCTGGTTCGATTCCGGCTAAGGGCACATGCCTGGGTTGTAGGCTTGATCCTTAGCCAATCAATCATTCTCATCAATGATGTTTCTATCTCTCTTTCCCTTCCTCTTTGAAATCAATAAAAATATATTAAAAAGAAAAAAAAGAGAACTTGGGACAGGTTATCTATACACTGGTACTTTCTATTAGCAACAATTAGCTGTGTGACTTAGAACAAATCCCTTCTTCATCCTTCTGAACATACACTTATTCAAATATAATTGATGGTTTATTATTTGACAATTACTGCTATTCTGTAGATTCAGAAAGAAAATATGCCTCATGGAACTTGGATTCTAGTGGGGGGGCCCAAATAAAGAGTCATAGAAGAATAAAAAAGAGAGAGTAGGGCAGATGGGGGAGTGTGAGGGGTAGGAGTGAGGTTGCTATTTTACATAGAGAGGTTAGGAAAGGTTTCGCCTAAAAGGTGACATTTGCGCAAAGACTCAAAGTGATGAAGTGAAACTATGTGGAACATCTTTTGGAAGAAAGTTCTAGGCAAGAGGAACACATGTAAAGGTCTTGAGCTGGGAACATGGGTAGCATATTTGAGGGAAAGCAAGAGGCCGCATGGCTATAGTACAATGAAAGGGCAGTGAATATGAGACCTGCTCATGTAAGGCCTTATAAGGCCAGTAAAGTATTTTGATTTTAACTTGAATGAGATAGGGAGCTTTTGGAAGGTTCTAAACATAGGAATGAGATAACTAAATGAAGTTTTAAAAGAATCACTTTTGATGTTGTGTAAGGACTTGGCTTTGGGGTGAGTAAAATGGAGCAGGCAGCTCAATTAGGAAGCTATTGCAATAATCCAGAGGTAGCGGCTTATACCAGGATGCTAGCTGTGAAAATGGTGAGAAGTGGTTAGAGTCTAGAAATATTTTGAAGACAAGACTGGATATACATTTAAGGTTGTGAGAAAGGAAAATCAAGGGTGACTCCATTTCTTTTTCTCTTAAGCAAATGAAAGAAAGAAGTTGCTTTGGTGAAAAAGGAAAGTCTGAGACAAATAGGAACGGGATGGAAGTTAGGAGTTTAGTTTGGGACTTAAATTTGAGATGCCTATTAGACACCTAAATAAAGCTATTAAGTAGGTAGCTGGACAAGAATATGGAGTTCGGGAGCGAGGTATGAACTGGAGATAATAATATTTATAGATAATATATATAAATGAAACAGAGTTAGATCACCAAGAAAATGAATGTAGACCGTGAAAGGAAGAGGGCCTGTGACCGAGCCCTGGGCTGTTCCAATCTTAGAAGAGGAACTAGCAGAGGGATGGGTAAGAGAAGGGATGTCTAGCTGAGGCAGGGGGAGAATCTAAGGGAGAGGAAGTGACATCCTCAAAGCCAAGTGAAGAAAAAGGTTCAACCATGATCCAGAGGGATTTACCCAGGAGTGCAAGGCTGATTTAATAAACAAAAATGTATGTAATATACCATATTAACAAAATAAAGGACAAAACCACATGACCATCTCAAGAGACACAGAAAAGCATTTGACAAAACCCAACATTATAGATTCATAAATAGAATCTTCTGCAGATGGTAAAAAATTGGTATGGAACTTTATGTACTGATATGAAAAGATCCCTTAAGACATATTGCTGAGTAAAAAAAGAATAGCATATATTTTATAACTCCATTTATGTTTTAAAAATTATAGGAAGGAAATATAGGAAAAAATAAATGAAAAAGAGCAATAAATCACATACTGCTTAATAGAGAGCTAAACACCAATTGAAAAAAGGGTGTAAATTGTGATCATAAAATCAGTTTAGTCATCTCAGTAACATCTGGTATGTGGTTATAATTTTGACATTATCAATAGTTAACTTACAAACTGATGTCTGCCAGAGAGGAGGAGGGTTGGGGTGCAGGTGAAAAAATGAAGGGATTAAGTACAAATTGGTAGTTACAAAACAGCCATGGGGATGTAAAATACAGCATAGAAAATATTGTCAATACCCATGTTTGGTGCCATTCCTTTCCCACAGGACATGGTGAGTTTATATAAAATAGCCCCCTTTATAAGTAGATCACTTTGTAAGTTATATAAGTGTCTAATCACTATGCCAGTGTTTTTCAACCTTTTTTGGGCAAAGGCACACTTGTTTCATGAAAAAAATCACGAGGCACACCACCATTAGAAAATGTTAAAAAATTTAACTCTGTGCCTATATTGACTATATATAAAGTAATTCTCTTGAATAGGAATCAAATAAACACAAAGAAAGTATTTTATAATTACTTTATTATGAAATATTAAGTAAACAAAATAGTGAAAAATTATAAAATTCTTGTCTTGTCTGCACCTACGGCACACCAGGCAACATCTCGCGGCACACTAGTGTGCCGCGGAACAGCGGTTGAAAAACGCTGCACTATGCTATACACCTGAAACTAATATAATATTGAATGTTAACTGTAATTGAAAACTCTCTTAAAAACAAAAGTTACTTACAAAAGCAACAGGGTCATTGCTCCGTGTGGCTGCAAGACTTAAAGATTTCACATGTGTGTTGGTTTCCAAAGCCTTCGCAAAATCTTTCAGGGTTGGAATTGGAATATTCTTGAAAGACAATAATGCAAAACATTACAATTCAGTCCAGTAATCAAGTAAATATTTACCGTTTCTCATTAAAATGCTCTCGGGAATTATATAAACACACGACAGTCTACAAATAGAAACAATTAACTGCCTCCTCCATATCTGTATGACTTCTCTATCAAAGTACATCTGCACAAGCTGTTGACTTAGAGCAGAGGATATATCACCATTTCTCTAGCATTTAGGTTAAAGGAGCTCTTGTGATTTTACATTTAATAATTCATGTTAAAAGAAGTCAACACCTGAGTATTCAAAGTGGACCCATTTCTACAAAGAGAAAGATGTGGGAGCCCACCTGAATATTTCTGAGGCAGGTGACATACTGTTCTTAGTCCCTTAGTTTAAACTATAAAGTATTAAGAGAGATTAACCCTACACTACTTGAAACGTGGGAAAATGTAGTTCTAGAAGGCACTAATTTTCCCTTTAGTCCCAAGACTTCAATTTCTTCCTGTAGCTGTGTTATTTGTAGATCATAACTGTTGATTTACAGAGATACAGGAAGACAATTTTTAAGGAATGAATAAAATTAATGATCAAGTAGGAACATTAGCTTTTCCCACGTTGTTCTTTCCTCCATTCACAAAAAGGAATACCCATTAAAGGAGTGCAGAGGTCTTATTCCCTTGGTTCTTATAATTTCCAGATGTTCCCTCTACCCCAAATTCAGATAAATCAAGATATAATACTCAAGAGAAATGAAAATATGTTCACACAAAACATATGACTGCATGTGAATGTGAACAGCGGTTTTATTTATAATCATTCCAAACTGGAAGCAACTCACACGTCTATCAACTAATGAGTGGATAAACAAATTGCACAATATCCCAACATCAGAACACTGCTCGGCAATATAAAGGAACAAACCGCCGACACAAGCAAAAACATGGATGAATCTCAGGTGCATTACCCTGACTGAAAGACGCCAGGCTCTACAGGCTACATACTACATGATCTGTTTACACTACATTCTGGCGAAGGCAGAATGAGAGGGAAAGAAAACAGATCGGTATGGGTTTGTCAAAACTCACAGAATAATACACTGAAAAAGGAGAATTTTACTTTATATAAATTAAACCTCAAGAAACCTGATTAAAAAAACAAAGCCCAAAAGACTAAATGCTCTTAAAGTAGGTAGTACTTTGAAAGCCAGAGAGAGGTAGTCTAGTAGGATTTACATTTCTATGTGATACTCTTTTAAAAAGCAAGTAAGAAAAACACTATTATTTTAATTTTTAAAATATGGAAGAATCTATGTTACCACAGTATTAGGAGCAAACACTTCGCCTTTAAGTAGAAAGAATTACACTATATCAAATCTGCCCAGCTCTCACCCTAGCTCCACTTGACTCAGCAATTCAAAACTTACTTTGCCCGGCACACCTACCTTTATATTATTCAAATTAACTTCAACAAGACGAACATCATTTTCTTTAATTCTCTTTAAACTCTCTTCAACGTTGGTTGGATTTGGTGGCTCATCAAATACTGGGACCATCTTTTCACCTTTTACCACATCTGTAGTAACAAGTGAGAAAAGCAAGGGTCTCAGTGGCTGATACTATTACAGTGGATGCATATATTAACTTGGTAACACATACCACAAACACACACACACATTCATTAGGACTAATCTAAAAGTTTCTTCCCCACAATTTCTAAATAATCCTTTGTGCGCAAACAGAACTTTATTGAATATATAAAAAAATAATTCATTTTATTTATAAAACATCAGCCTTCAAAAATGATTGTTTTCATGGCCTCTTGGTGTATTACAAAATACCACTAAAATACATTTGATAACATATACCAATGATCCCATTTTTTTGTTGCTGCAATGTTTAAAATAATGTTCAAATATAATCAAATTTAACATCTTGTATGATTTCTCTGATCTGCTAGTAATTACTGAAAAGGCAGTAAGAATCACAAACTTAAAGAAACAGAGCCGTGATAAAAACAAGGTGATGGAAGTACACAGGTCTTCTTCCCATGGAGATACTACACGATGGGAAAGGAGTGGACTCTCTATTAGGAAGTGAAGTAGGAATAAGGAATGGGAGACAGAGAGGGTAACAGTACACAGAAGAACTACTGAGGCAGAAATTCCAAATTCTACTTCCTTCCTTCACCCCTGCCTCCAATACTTCAGCATATATACTCTACCCACACACGGCCAGGAGACAACTATGCAAGTTGAAAGGGGATCCAGAAGGCTTGAACTCTCTAATGACCCTTAACACATTCTCCCCACAGATATGACCATCTTGATATGCTCCCTAATGTGATTTAATCACCACCTAGGAAGCATTCTTTCTAAATCTAAAACCAAAAAATTGCACCTGAATCTGATCAAGCCTAGAGAAAATAAGTAAGTTTACAGAAACATAGGAGACAGAGAAACTTGTAAAACATCCCAGACATGAATTTTTTAATCCTCACCTGAGGATATGTTTTGTTTTTTTAAATTAATTTGAGAGAGAGAAACATCCATGTGAGAAACATTGACTGGGTGCCTCCTGTAAAGGCCCTGACCGGGGATCAAATCCGCAACCTAAGGATGTGCCCCAACCAGGAATCGAACCTGTGACCTTTTGATATATGGGACGATGCTCCAATGAACTGAGCCACCTGGCCAGGGCTCCTGTACATGAGCTTTTTAAAAAGCGTTGTTTTGGGCCATTTAATACTTTTCATTAAATAGACTAAAAGGTTTGGGGATTGAATAGTTCTGCGGTTTCTCCTGAATCTGATTTTATAATGTAGTTTGCCAAACACTGTTGTAGACTTCCTGAAAATCAGTAACACTGAAAAAAGAATGTCAACAAAAGCCAAGTTTGATTAGCATTTATATCGTTTAGCATTACTATTACTTGTGAGGTGAGTGGTTCCTATCACATTCAATGACACTTAAGCATAAAACACTTAATCTTCCTTCTTCAATGGTTTTATATGTCAATACCATCTAACTGGAATTTTAGGTTTCTAGTACATATACAAAACATTTGGTATGTAAACACAGAAGTTGACACATTGAGAAAAAATATATTTAACAAAGAATTGGAATTCACAAAGAATTATAAATACTCACTTGAAAAATTTTCTTGGTCGACACCATTACTACTTCCCACTATATTACAGAACTGTGTATTTGTTATCAAATTGTGCATTCCAAGAATAGCTATAGAGACAGAAAAAGAAAATTAGTTTTATTTTCATCAGTGTTAAACATAGAAATTTTACAATCCCGAATTTCTATTAATGATTTTAACATTCTCTGGACATTTTTTCTAATCAATTAACTATAGATTTTGCAGCCCAAAGAGGGGAGACAGCATGATTAAAAATCACCTACAGTTCCTTCTCATCAATGCCCTTATTATTTTCCCCATAGCTCTGACTTCAGACACAGCTGGAGCTAGCTTAACCTTAAATGCAAATATACAATTAGCTCCATCTGGCGGCTCAGAAAAAAATGACATGATATACTTTGCTGTTCATCTTTTTCACAAGGTTTCTAGCAACATAATGTGATAGATGGCAGGTTTTCAATGTAAGCTTCGCTATTTTACATTTGTTAACTCTCATTCACATTTTAGCTAAGAGTAGAATACTGAAAGTATAGCTGAATTCTCACATTTAAGATTCAAGTAGATACCCCAAGAATGACACTTAGGAGAAATTTGATTTTGATTTTTGATGTCCTTTTGCATAAACAAGGCAGAGGCTCCAGTGTGCCCCCTGTCCACTCCACTCTGAAGAGTTTACAAGCCCATCAATCCTCACACTCCCAGAAATAACCACCTGCCCTGCCTGTGGAACAGCCTGACTGTCCTTTCCCGAGTCCTTCCTACAGAATCTTCACGCTCTTTTCAAACATGTCAGTTCTTGGGGTTACTTGGGACTAAGGCCTCCCCAGTGTCCTATTTTTCTGTTAGGAAAACGGCTGTGTGGGAGAGGAGCTGGAGGAGATTCTGGTCTCTATAAGAAACCAGCAATGACAACAATAACTGGGAGGTTTGGGTGTTCCCCACACACTTCAGAGAAGTTGGGAAGGTGTGAGAATAGCTTAGGGCTGACTGCCTCACCTACTTTCCCGTTACCCACCTTGGGGTCTTTGATAAAATGGGACAGTAGTTGACCCCGGCAACCCTTTCAGTGCTCAGATGGGACAGCTTCTAGCTGAACGCCAGCTGATGAAACATTTTTATAAAGACTTTCAAAATGGGCAACGTGGGAAAAGATGTCCAATAATACAATAAATTCCATTAACATAAAAATTTCACCATTGAGAGAATTTTAAAAAATGACATTCTTTGGGTCAGCTTTAGAGTATAAGAAACAAAGCCAAATATGTGGTCACTGATTCAATAGCACTCTGCCAGGCAAAGGAAGCAACTGCGTAATGAACAGAGGTGTGTGCTGGTCCTCTCCCTCCACATTCATTCACAGTGTGTTCAGGCGGTACCTGCGAGGTCACACAGTTCTGTATCAGAAGCACTTGTCAAAGCTTCTTCTAATTCTGGATCAAGAGAGATTTTTTCTTCTGTAAAAGTCTGGATAGGTTTCTGTTTAGGGATGAATATTTTCCCTGTAAAATAAAGCAGTTTGTTAATTTATTGTTGCTATTAACTCATTACCATTTTACTCAAACAAAAATTATTAAAAGTATGTGCAATTAAAGCTAAAATAAAGACTGACATGTAATAATTTCATTTCATCTTCAATATGTATTTATAAGCTTCTAGTGACCGTAAAAGTTGGGATAAAATTTGAGAAATTTTCCCATTTGTGAAAATATAAATAAGCTCTTTCTGGAGTCATTATGAGTTACTCTACAATTACTAAATCAAAAAATAAATGAATAAAGGGATAAACACAAAAATCTATATAACTTTAAAAAGATTAAAAGAAATTTCATTCTCTTATTCTTAAGGAAGACATCATTACAATCCCTCTGGGGGTGGCAGAAGCCATTATTCCAGAAATTCAGGTTCTAATTGCACTACTAGGGTAGCAAGTAATGGTGGGTAATGCAGTCTCACCCTGTCTCTAGGAACGCACTGTCCACTGTGGCAGCTACTAGCAACAGGTGACTTTTAAAATTTAATTCTAACTAAAACTCAGTTCCTCAGCCATAGTAGCCACATCTCAGGTGCACAAAAGCCACATTTCAAGTGCTTGACAGCCACACTTGGTTGGCACAGAATAGAACATTTCCACCAGAAAGTTCTAGTGGACAGCGTTGGTCCAGGGCTTCTCTGGATTCTAGTCTATCCTAACAGCCCTACATGGTCATGAAACATTGGTTAAAAGTTAGGATGATTGCTCCTTAACTCCTCTCTATGGTAGTTTCCTCCTTTTCAGTTAGGTGAGAGCAAGACTGGATCACCTCTCTTATGAAGGGCTTGGCACTTTCTGGAGATTTGTCTTCAGGATTTCCGATAGCTTTTTATTTTTATATACTAGAGGCTCAGTGCACGGAATTCGTGCATGGGGATGTGGGGGGCGGGGGGAAGTCCCTCAGCCCGGCCTGCATCCTCTCCATTCCAAGACCTCTTGGGGGATGTCCAACTGCAATCAAACATCCTTCTTGCAATCCGGGGCTTCCTAACTGCTAGCCTGCCTGCCTGCCTGATCACCCTTAACTGTCTCTGTCTGCGGCCTGATGCTCCTAACTGCTCCCCTATGAGCCTGATGGCAGTCGAGCAGTTAGGGGCTTGGCCCCCTGCCACTTGGCTTTGCCAGGAAGGATGCCTGGTCTAATTAGCATATTACCCTTTTATTATCTTTTAAACTATGATTACCTAGAGCAGTGGTCGGCAAACTCATTAGTCAAAAGAGCCAAACATCAACAGTACAATGATTGAAATTTTTTTTGAGAGCCAAATTTTTTAAACTTAAACTTCTAACGCCACTTCTTCAAAATAGACTCGCCCAGGCCATGGTATTTTGTGGAAGAGCCACACTCAAGGGGCCAAAGAGCCACATGTGGCTTGCGAGCCACAGTTTGCCGACCACAAACGTAAACAGCTTGTTTTGGTTGTTAGAGTGAGAACAACAAGTCTCTTGCAACTTTCTACATCTGAATTAGAAGTCTTTCTGCTCAAGTATTTTGTTATCTAAAAAATATCACTTGGCAGAAGCCGGTTTGGCTCAGGGGATAGAGCGTTGGCCTGCGGACTGAAAAGTCCCAGGTTCGATTCCGGTCAGGGGCATGTACATTGGTTGCGGGCACATCCCCGGTGGGGCGTGTGCAGGAGGCAGTTGGTCAATGTTTCTCTCTCATTGATGTTTCTGGCTTTCTTTTTCTCTCTTTTTTTTATTTTATATTTTATTGATTTCTTACAGAAAGAAAGAGAGGGATAGATAGAAACATCGATGAGAGAGAATCATCGATCAGCTGCTTCTTGCACACCTCTACTGGAGATGTGCCCACAACTAAGGTACATGCCCTTGACCAGAATCGAACCCGGACCCTTCAGTCCGCAGGCTGATGCTCTATCCACTAAGCCAAACCGGTTTCAGCTGTTTCTGGCTTTCTATCTCTCTCCCTTCCTCTGTAAAAAATCAATAAAGTATATTTTTTAAAAATCACTTGGCCAATCCACAATATATAAGGTTATTTTTAACTGCATGTAACAGAATACCCAAATAGAAGTAGTTTAAACTGGTGATTTTCAAGATCTCATTAAAGTACAGAGTCTGATGTGAGCTCTGAGATTCTGCATTTCTAATCTAAAGTATTTTTATCTCATTTAATAAGTCTGAAGTATGTGGCTGTTCAGCAGCTCAAGCTTGACATCGAAGATCCGGGCTCTTTTCATTTTTCTCTTTGGCTATAACTAGCATGGAGACCTTTGTTCCTAGCCCACCAGTCTCAAGACGATGTTGTAACACTAAGTACCGTGTCTTCATGCAACAGGAAGGAAGGGCCCTTTCTCAATTGTCAACTTCTATAAAAAAACTGTCTTCTCTTCTAATCTTACCGACCAGCTCTGGGTCACACTACCATGACTCCACTGTAAGGATGTTTAAGAAATAAGCACCTGGCACTCGGAGTATATTTCAGAGATGGGTTTGTTAGTAGGGTAGGATGAATGAATGCATTTGTCTCAGTACTGAGCCTGATGAAGTACAGTTCTGTGCTCCCTTAATTCCCTGAACATTTCACTACAGCTGCATGTACACATTCTGCATATCTGTCTGTCTGTCTGTGCAAACTTCTCAATGTTCTGTTCATCACTGCATCCTTCTCTGGCACATAGTAGGCAATCCGGTTTGTTGAATAAATAATCTGGCGGTCACCTGCAGTTCAACTAACTACTTTTTCTTTTTTAAATATATTTTATTGATTTTTTACAGAAAGGAAGGGACAGGGATAGAGAGTTAGAAACATCGATGAGAGAGAAACAACAATCAGCTGCCTCCTGCACACACCCCACTGGGGATGTGCCCGCAACCAAGGTACATGCCCTTGATTGGAATCAAACCTGGGACCTTTCAGTGCGCAGGCTGACACTCTATCCACTGACCCAAACTGGCTTTGGCCTAACTACTTTTTAAATATATGTATATATCTTTTATTGATATTTTACAGAGAGGAAGGGAGAGAAAGAGAGAGTTAGAAACATTGATGAGGGAGAAACATCGACCAGCTGCCTCATGCATGCTCCCCTACTGGGGTTGTGCCCGTAACCAAGGTACATCCCCTTGACGGGAATCGAACCTGGGACCTTGGGTCCATAGGATGATGCTCTATTCATTGAGTCAAACCAGCTAGGGCTCAGCTAACTACTTTTTATAAAGTATAATTTAAATGTCCTGGTTCAAAGTCACACAGCAGAGTTAACACTAGAACACAGATTCCCACTCTCAACATGTTGCTTCTTCTGATACACTGGTGGCTTTCAAGCTTAACTCTTTAGCAGCAGACTTTTCCCCTCAAGCAAATGCCTATCTATATGGTGGTATATATAATTATCTTAGTACCAAATTTTAGAATTCTGATGATTATTGAATCTTTTATTATTGATTCTCAGGCAAGGGCAAATTCTAATCAATAAATCCCAATAATTCCATAGTATTTTTTAGTTTTATAAGTAAAGTGGCATAGAATTCAAATGGCATACCTTTATTGCCATTTCGGGATAATTACATCTTTCTGAGCTCGATCTCATCTGCACTTTTGGATGTCTAAAGCAGTGGCTCTAACACTGGCTACACATTAGGTTCACTCAGAGAACTTTAAAAATTCTGATGTCTAAGTCCCAGCCTAAGGGATTCTGATTTAATTGGTCTTGTGTGCTGTAAGGAACATCTGGGTTTTCAAAAAAAACCTCTAGAGATTCTAATGCATAGTAGCCAAACCCAAGAACTGCTGGATTAGGCATTCACTAAACAAAACCACATAAGCTATCAAATAGCTGCCTGTGTCTTATTCTAGGGACCAATGGAATCTAAAACATTATAAAAATCTAAAATGTTTACTTTTGTAATCCTCATCCACATTCCATAAAGTTATTATTCATATCTAATTTTTCCCCATACATGATCTTTTGCAAATACTTATAAATACAAAATAAAATTTAATCAGAAAAAAAATAAGAATTTCTAAGGGTTTATGGAAATTCTCCGCAATGTAAAGTTTGCTATTTTTTTTATTTTTTTTTTATATAGCTCTAAAAGAGATCTCCTGGCATTTCTTTTTATGAGAATTTCTCTGTACATAGAGATTTTTGTTGTGGTAGTAATTAGCCTATACGAGATTGTATTTTTAACAATACAAAAAGGAATTACTACACATTTCTTCATAGACAGTTTAACACTAATCCAGTATAAGAATTATTGTTTAATGTTAAATCTAGTTATAGAAAATTAAAATCTAATTATAGAAAATTAAAAGGAAATTACTTTTGTAACAAAGGATAAAATAGGCAGAACTTCTTTAGTACTAAAAATACCAAATCTAAGGGGCTCTTCCCAAGTTGACTGATAGGCTTGAACAGACCCTTAACAAGTCTTAATTGATTATTTGCATAAAATGATAAGGTGATGCTAAATTTCATGTGGAAATCCAAGCTACTCAGAATAGCCACACAATTTTGAAAAAGAACAAAGTTGAAGAATTCATACTTCCCAATTTCAAAACTTAATAAACCTACTGTAATCAAGCCAGTGTATGGTACATAAGGAAAGACATTTAGATCAATAAAACAGAATTGAGAGTCCAGAAATAAACTAATATTTCAATTGAATTTCTACAAGGGTACCAAGACAATTCAATTGAGAAAGAATTATCCTTTCATCAAGATTACAGAACTCAATGTAAAAGTTTAAACTGTACTTAGAAAAACACATAAATCTTGAGTTAGGCAATGGTTTGTTACCTATGACAACAAAAGCACAAGCATCAAAAGAAAAAATAGATAAACTGGATTATATTAAAATAAAAAAACTTTTATGGAACAAATGATACTATCAAGAAAGTGGAAAAACTTAAAAAACTGTGGTACATCTACACAATGAAATACTACACTGCTGTAAAAAAGAAAGAATTCTTACCATTTGCAACAGCATGGATGAACCTGGAGAGCATTATGCTAAGCAAAATAAGCCAGTCAGAGAAAGGTAAATATCACATGATCTCACTCATTTGTGGAATATAATGAACAACATAAACTGAAAAACAGAAATAGATCCAGACACAGAAGCATTGAACAGACTGTCTGACAAATCTCAGAGGGAAGGCAGGAAAGGGTGGAAGTTGCGGGGGGAGGGTGAGAGGAGGATAAGACATCAACTAAAGGACTTGTATGCATGCATATAAGCATAACCAATGGACACAGACACTAGGGGAGTGAGGGCATGTGCTGGGGGGGTGGGAGTGGCTGGGGAGAGGTCAATGGGGGGGAAAAGGGACATATGTAATACTTTAAACAATAAAGAATTTAAATTTTTTTTTAAAAGCGAAGAAACAACCCACAGAATGAGAGGAAAAAATTTTAAATAATAAAACTCATAAGTAACATACCTAAAATATAATAAAAATTTTATTGATAATAAATCAAATATTGATTGATGTAAATCAATAAGACAACCCAATTTTAAAATAGACAAAGGAATTTAATCCAAAGAAGATTCAGCTATCTAACAGCACATTAAAAATGCTCAGGATCCTAGTCTTTAGGGAAATGAAAATCAAAATCACAAAGCACTATCACTGTATAGCTATAATAATAATAATAATAATAATAATAATAATAATAATTAAAAAAAAGTGTTGGTGTGGATGTGGAATAACTGGAACTCTGATATACTGCCGGTGGGAATATAAATGGTGCAGCCACTATAGGAAACAGATCGGCAGTTTTTCAAGTTGTTAAACATGTTTACCATTTTATCAAGCAATTCCACTTACAGATACATATACCCAAAAGAAGTAAAAACATGTGCCTACACAACAACTTATACACAAATGTTCATAGCAGCTTCCAAAACATACTAAGTGAAAGAAGCCAGTCATAAATACATATTGTATGACTCCATTTATATGAAATGTCCAGAGTAGGCAAATTTAAAGAGACAAAAAGTAGATTACTGATTTCCTAGAGCTAGAGATTAAAGTGAGAAATAGAGATTAACTGCTAATGAGTACGGGTTTCTTTTGGAGATGACAAAAATGTTCTAAATTTAAGACTGTGGGGACAGCCGAAACCGGTTTGGCTCAATGGATAGAGCGTCGGCTTGGGGACTGAAAGGTCCCAGGTTCGATTCTGGTCAAGGGCATGTACCTTGGTTGCGGGCATATCCCCAGTAGGGGGGGTGCAAGAGGCAGCTGATCGATGACTCTCTCTCATCGATGTTTCTAACTCTCTATCTCTCTTCCTTCCTCTCTGTACAAAATCAATAAAATATATTAAAAAAAAAAAAAAGACTGTGGGGACGATTGCACAACTCTGATATGTATTATACTAAACACCACTGAACGTATTAAACAGCGCTATACAAGTTAAGTGGATAAATGCTATGATGTGGATTGCATTTTAATAATAATAATAATAATAATAATAATAATAATAAACAACCACACACACCAAGGGACCAATGTATTAAATATGGGTTTTCTGGTCTTCCTAAGTAAATTTATGTTTGCCTTTTAAAATGCAAAAGAAAAAAAAAAGATAATTTTTGAGAGATTCAGCCAGTGTGTTTATGTTTTTCTAATCAAAATCAGCTGTTTCCTGTGAAATACATAACTAGCAAACTGCTGGATCATTTCCAAATAAGAAAATGCCTTTCTAAACATGTGTGTTAATTTAAATTAGTCTTACGTCAATTAGATTTAAGTTAAAAATCTTAAATACTATGAAATGCTAATAAATAGATCCCCTTTTTAATGGTTAACTTGATTGGTGCCCTCCATATCTTACAGGATGAGTGAAATGTTAGGCTTTTGAGATGCAGAGGTATTACATAGGCTGTGCCTGTGCTTTTGCATAGGGTAGAAAAATGTGCAAATTTGATATTGTTTTTATCCAAAACCATCTATTAACATTTATTAGTTCTATTTTGCTTCTGATATTTTTTTTTCAAATTATGGATTATTCTTTACAGAAATCTCAACCTTATTCTGATAAAATGATTTAACATATATAAAGGAAGTAGTACATAGTAAACAGACACGTTAATTCTCTCTCTCTTTTTTTTAATCCTTATCTGAGGATATTTTTTCCCATTGATTTTAGATAGAGTAGAAGGAAGAGAGAGAGTGGGAGAAAGAGAGAAACATCAATGTGAAAGAGACACAATAATCTGTTGCCTCCTGCATGCACCCCAACTGGGGGCAGGAGATTTAATCTGAGACCCTTGGTGTGTAAGCCAATGTTCTAAGCACTTAGCAACATAGGCCAGGGCAATATCAGTGGTTTTTAAATTCATAGAGTGAGGGTTGGCTAGGCATGGATATTCTTAAAAAAGCTTTCTACATAGTTCTGATTCTTACCTTCTCAAGTTAATAAGCACTTATCTGTAAAATAGCTCTGAAAATAGGGTGAGTTATCCTGTATTGATCTAATTTTACTTTTCCTCTCCTTGAAATACGGTCAAAAGCCCTGACTTATAATTATTATATTTGGATTTATTTGAAAATAGTATAATGTCTGAAAAAATAGTTATTCACTTTTATTCTTCAGCAGATAGCATTCTATCTAAATGACTTTATTTCCTTATTTAAGATTGCAAAATCTTGGTTTTTTTAAACCGAAGTTCCGGTTCTTTACATAGCAGCAAAGTATGAAAATAAACAATGAATAGATCAGAAAAACATCTCTCAGACAAGTATGAAATGGCATACCCCGCTCCCTTTCCCCCTCCCCCGCTGAAAACAAAACAAACAAAAACAGGGCTATGACTCTTGGTTGCTAAAAATGTTAAAATAGTTCAGTAATGTTTCTGCAATTATAAAACGGCAGCTAAGGAAACTGAAGCAACCAAGATAAGAATTCATATTATAGTAATTTCAATGCATGGCATTTATCCAAAACCACGTTTGTACCAAGAGGGGGGAAAAGGTGGAATATCTTGCCAAGATCCTTATTATTTATTGTTCCAAAATCAGTGACAGGGATTATAAACCGTGTTAATTTTATTGCCAGGACCTTTCTTCACTAGTTCTCATCCTTCTTTTTCAGAGAGTATATACTTTTTTTTTTTTTTTTTTTTTTTTACATATTCTTCCATCCTTGCTGAGCATATACAAAAGTAATATAACCAAAAGTAAAGATGATTCTTAGTTATTTCATTCTTACAGAGGTGAAAGGCTCTGATTTTACAGTTTGTATGTTTATGACCTACCTCGTTCCAGAAAAGATGTAAGGCAATTAGGCCACTGTAATCTCCAGAGGGGACTTTGAGGTGTAGACAGGAAGCACAAAAACCTCAAGTCAACCCAACTAAACGATCAGGAGGCAGATTCTGGAAATGCATTTTTTGACCCAACGACATACATGAAACCTGCTCAACACTAATATGCGCATCAACAAATATTTAACAAATGTTTAGAATGTTTCTATATACTAGATGATGAGCTAGAAAAACACCATAAGGAAAATAAAATAAAAGGTCCTTTCCTTTGGGGAGCTTATATTCTAGTTGGGGGAACAGGTTATCTATAGTATATGTTTCTGGAGACTTCTACTCCGGGCCAAGATGGAGCATTAGGAACAGGATTTACCCACATGACTAAAATAACCCGGAAATGAACAAAATATATGAATGTGATCAGGACACACTGATCATCAGGCAACAAAGGACAGCGATTCCTAATAGATAAGCAATAAAGTGAGACCAGATTATTGCCTGGAGAGGCCAGGCTGCAGTGCAGGGACCAGGAACCCAGGCGAATTTGGTGAACTCTCTGAACTGAGGATGCAGAAAGATCAGGCAGCTAGCATCTGCAAGACAGACTACCAGAGAGGGGAGATTTACAGAGAGTGAGCCAGATCTGCACAGGGCCACCTCAGAGTACTCAGCAGAGTACTGATCAGCACATGTATGTTATGAAACTACCTTGGGCCAAGGAAAAAACATCTGAAAATATTAGAGATAATAATGCCTGGGCTCATGCAGGGCTGGGACTAGAACCTGTTCCCACCAGTCAATGCAGAAAACCTAATTCACAGGACACTGGGTAGAGACCTCAGAAGGGTCTTGCTTCAGCAGCAGAGAAATAATTAGCCCTACAATGAACACTTCTCCAATTCCCCACTTACTGAACCTTAAAAGCAAGACCCTAAAGGATCAAACTGTTCCCACAATGAAGCTCAAGAACATTTATAGAAAAACCCAAATATCCAGCATCCAACAAGTTAAAATTCATAATGTTTGGCATCCAATAAAATATATCAACATACAAAGAAGCAGGATAATTCAATCCATAAGAAAACAAATCAACTCTAACCGGTTTGACTCAGTGGATAGAGCATCAGCCTGCAGACCAAAGGGTCCCAAGTTCAAATCTAGTCAAGGGCACATAGCTGGATTGCAGGCTTGATACCCAGTAGGGGCATGCAGGAGGCAGCTGATCAGTGATTCTGTCTCAACATTGATGTATCTTTCTATTTCTCTCTCTCCCCTTTCCTCTTTAAAATCAATAGAAGAAAAAGAAGAAGAAAAGAAGAAGAAAAGAAGAAGGAGGAGGAGAAGAAGGAGGAGGAGAAGGAGGAGAAGAAAAGAAGAAGAAAAGAGGAGGAGGAAGAGGAGGAGGAGGAGGAGGAGGAGGAGGAGGAGGAGGAGGAGGAGAAGCCGCCGCCCTATCAGAGTGAGTACTAGGGCCTTCACTGGGCATCATCTTGATGACCTACCCTCAGAGCACGAGAAAACACTTCTCTCCTTTTGACATTAAAATCAAAGATGTTGGTTTTGGTTAGTTATTTCATTTGCAACCTTTATTCTAATTAAGAAATAGTTATTTATCAATTTTGTTTAGAACAACATTTTGGAATGATGTAAAAATAAAAACACTGCATATCCCTCTCCTCCCTCTAAAAGCAGGGAAATGTTTTTGTAACTTAAGTCTGTTGTTTCTTAAACTAATCAGAAAAGTTCCCTACTTCATTTGTTTCCATGATGGGAAAAGAAAATGACATGTTTCTGCAGCTGTATCCAGCTGCCCTGGGAAGAAATAAAAACTTGTCATATATTTAAAAGAAAAACAAACAAAAAACTATCTCAGCAATGACAGATGATAAAATTAGCCAGTAAGGGTATCAAAAGTTATAATTATATTTCATATGTTTAAAAAGTTAAGGAGAGACATGGAAGATATTACAAAAAAAAAAAAAAAAAGAAAAAGAAAAAAAAGAAAAAGAAAAAAAAAAAAGAGGAACAGGAACAAAGAACTGATGGGACAAATTAGAGAAAATATAATATACTAACACTAATCAGAAGAAAGCAAGGTTGGTTAGCTATATTACAATAATACCAGACAATGTAGATTTCAGAGTAAAGAATATTACCAGGAATAGAGAGAGAAGGTCATCCTATATAATAAAAGGCTAATATGCAAATTGACCCAAGAGTGGAACGACCAGTCGCTATGACACACACTGACCACCAGGGGGCAGATGCTTAATGCAAGAGCTGCCCACTTGTGGTCATTGTGCTCCCATAGGGGAGCACTACTCAGCCAGAAGCCCTGAGCTGGGCTCTCGGCTGGCAAGCACAGTGGCAGTGGTGGTAGTCTCTCCCACATCCGTGGCAGTGCTAAACCATCAGTTGGACATCCCCTGAGGGCTTCTGGACTGCAAAAGGCACAGGGCAGGCTGAAGGACCCCCTTAACTGCATGAATTTCGTGCACTGGGCCTCTGGTATCATAATAACAAAATGAGCAATTCAGCAAGAGGACATAATGATCCTAAATTAATAATTTAAAGAACTCCTCTAATAATGCCTTACAGAATATGATTCTGGAACAATTAAAGGCCACATTCTAAGGCATGTAAATTATATACAGACATATTGGAGGGAAAGGAATATCCAGAGTGAGTATGGTTACCAAGGGAAAGATTCCTATAAAATAAGGTCTTAACATGAGTGATGAATAATCCATCTGGTTAACTCCTTATCCCAAGAGTAATTAGTGAATCATTCAAAAGATATAATGAATTGTCTAAAAAGGAAGTGCCAGCATCTGCACGACTAATTTAAGCAACCCATTACAAATATCAGCTTCAGCACCTGGAAAGATAATTAAAAAAAAAGTTTTTATTAATTTTAGAGAGAGAGGAAGGAAGATGAAAACATCGATTGAGAGAGAAACATCATTGATTGGCTGCATCCTGCATGCCCTCTATTGGGGACTGAGCCCACAACCTGGGCATGTGCCCCAACCGGAAATTGAACCAGCAACCTCTTGCTTCATGGGCCAAAGATCAACTATTAAACCACACAGGCAGGGGGGAAGGCCACTTTTTAGAAGCATGTAAGGGGCATTTAGAACTCATAAGATGCAAGTACAAAATAAGAGCCAGTCTTTCTCTTGAATTTAGTGAAAAATAATTGTTCATCAGCAGTTACGTAATCTTGTTGATTTAGAAAGGTTATAACCACCACCTTTCTGGTTTACTGAGAGGTCTGCCTTGTGGAGGTCTGCCTTTCCTCCACAGAAATCATTTACTACTCCGAAAAGTGAGGAGAGTCTCTTTTAGAGGAGTGATGACAGTAAGCTTTCTGAAAAGCTAAGGCAACTGTAAGTAAATAGATTGAAAAATATATGAGAAGTCTTTAGTTGAAGAAAATCTGGTTAAGTTCACCTTTAGTAAACAGGGCAGGACAATGAGCTCCGTGAGAAGGAAACCTAAGGGCATTCCTTTCTCAGGGAGGGGAAGGGAAAATAACAAAAAGCATACATGGCTCTACCTCACAGGTCAACTGGGAGAGAGCCTTTGTGCTCTGCGAGGAAGGGAGTAGCCCAATCTGGGTGAGTCAGACGCTCGAAAGGAATTCGCTGGTGCACCTAAGTGTGGTGTACAAGGTGCAGTTCGGTCTGGCCATAAGCTTAGAGACGCCCAGGAAAAAAAGTCTTAGTCTGAGTAAGGGTGAAGTGTGATTTTAGAAATGGGCAGGAAGACTCCTAGCAAAGTAAAACAAAACAAGAATCAGCAAGAAATAGTAAAGACTGGGGCAAATTATTTTCCAAGTGTCAAAATCATCACAAGGCTCTTATGCCTTTATCCGTCTTGAAGACAGAATACTCAAGATATGTAAAAATATGACAGGAAATAATACTCAGTTATAAAGTCAGCACTCTGCATGTTCACCATTCTTAGGAATGAGAGAAGAGCTGGATGCATACTCTCCTTTACCCTTGTCTTGCTCAATGCTTCAGTTACATATTTTGCAAAATTTCAAGGAGAAAGAGGTGAAAAACTTCCCAACTTTTAATATTATATTTTCAAGTAAAAGTAACGTATATTGGAATTCTGGTACTGCTTTAATTTTCTCAACCCTTTGCTTTCTTTGAATATGGTAGACTCATGGAAAAGATTACTTGATACCATTAATACCATTTCTACCATGAGCTTGTTAGATTTAGATGAACAAATGTATACTGTGGAATCTATTATAAATAATGCACTTAAAAACAATCCTTAATATGTCTTTTGTTAGCTGTGCCTTACTATTTACCAAATACTTCCCCCCCCCCCCCCCCCCCCCCGCTTCAATAAAATAACATTGTTAAAAGCAGAACATTTATTGGTGTAGGACAGTGGTCAGCAAACTGGGACTCGAGAGCCACATGTGGCTCTCTGGCCCCTTGAGTGTGGCTCTTCCACAAAATACCACAGCCTGGGCGAGTCTATTTTGAAGAAGTGGCATTAGAAGAAATAGAGAGCCATGTTTAAAAAAACCACCTTTTGGATTTTCAGAGTTGAGGAGAAAATTCACATTTAGCTTGATTGGGAAGTGTGCTAATAACAATAGGCGAATTATTCTGAGGGTCTTCTGAATGATCAAGATTTTGGGGATGAGACCCCAAAAAAGGAAGGCATATTAGGGACTAATGATAATCAAAGCTAATTAACTTAAGGATGAGTGCCTAGCATGAGTTTGAGAAGATTATAGCTGGCTTTTAACTATATTTCAAAGGAGAGTTCTATAGCCAAAGTTCCCAATTGTTGATGAATTTGCCCTTCTTCAGGCCTATGGCACTGTAACATGGCTTTTAAAGCTTGACCCCACCCAGTCTGGAAATGTAGCATTTGCTTGGATGTAATGAATTGCTGAAACTCAAAAACTCATCTCTCTGGTTCTGGATAACTCCTCTAAGAGAAAATATAAATCTCTTGTTTGGTTATAACATCACCATATGATCCTTTACACTGATTACACTGCACAGGATTTTATAGTGATTTCACTGTGCCCTTTAATAAATTTGGTTCTCACAAAAACTTTATAAAGTAGGCAAGACAGGTCCTCAGAATGTATGATTTCATTGATATAAAGCTCAAACTAGGCAGTTAGAAGCTGTAATGGTTACTTTTGAAAAGCAGAGACTGGGATAAAGCATAAAGGAACCTTTTAGAGGTGTGATAATGCCTTGTGATTTCATGGGTATGTTCACTGTATAATTCATGGATCTCTATTCTTCTGATTTGTGCATATTCTGTAAACATGTCATACTTCAATAAACAGTTCATTATATTTTTTCAATGCTATGGTCTTCATCACTGCATCGTAACGGCCCACAAATAAAATATTCAACAGACATTCGTAGCTAAAAGTGGCAGTAAAAATACTGAATGCATTATAAAAACAAACTGATTGTGAATGCAAAATTACTTGCTTTTTAATTCAACTACTTCAATTTATTTCATAACCATCTCAAACCTAATGTTAGAAATAAGAAAAAAAAATTTAAGTATATAAAAAACAAAAACTATCACCCTATAGTTAAGAATACAGCATTTCCCCCCCTTACTGTCACCCATATTCCTCATCTCTATAATTTCTCAACTCTGGTATTTTCTTATCCTATATAATTAAAGCCTAATATGCAAATTGTCCACTTGGGCGGGTTGTTTGACTGTTTGCTATTATGTGCACTGACCACCAGGGGGCAGCACGGAACATGGTGATGCAGTGCAGGCAGCAGTGGAGGTGCAGCCAACCCTGATGAATGAAATGGGACTGCAGAGGACTGGTGGAACAGGTGAGCTGGAGGCGCCAGGCCAAGGTGGATGCAAGTGGTTGATTGCCCTGCTGATTGCCCCACAGAAGGTGTGACCAGCGGCAGCAGTGGGGGCAGAGCTGCTGCCAGCTCCCAGGCACTGAGGGAGCCAGGTGGGGGGCTCAGCCCCAATCTATTGCCCTCAGGTGGGATGGTGGAGCAGGTAAGGAAGCAGTGCCAGGCCAACACAGGGTGCCAGGCAGGGCTGTGAGGCTGGGAGCACGAGCTGGGGCCTGATTTGTATACCAGGCCACTAGTTTTCCATAATTCTCTACCTTCTTTCCTACCTCCCCTAATCCTCCAAGATCTTTTCCTAGGTAACTGGTGATTATAAAACAAAAGCATACTGGGAAACTTACTGGGTCAGTTTAGGACCAATCCAGCTCTTTCATCTCTTTTATTTTATCTTCTTATCCTCCAATTCCATATTCTTTTCCTGCCATATCATTTTCTCACATCTCTCCCCGTTTCTGCCTCTATTCTTCTTCCTAATTTTACTCCCCAAGTCTATCTGAAGCACATATATTAGTAAAAGGTAACCAGCTAATATGTATTCTCATTAAACTATGTTCTATATAAAAAGACTTGAAGCTATACTGTTAGAGGGATGGCTGCACAGATGAAAACAGAGTCAGCTGTTTTTTTGTTTTTTTTTTGTTTTTTTATGACAAAGGAACTGATGTTTTTGCAGTTTCTCCACACTTGAAACTATGCATGATTTTCAAATCTTTTTCTGGCCCAAACACCTGAGAAACCTGACATTAACACCTCTAAAGATGGTTAGTTTTATGTGTAATAAAGCTGGGCACAGTGCCCAGGTATATGGTCAAATATTGTTTGTTTCTATGATGATGAACATTTTAATCAGTGAACTTTGAGTAAAGACATAATGGTGAGCTCATCCAATTGCTAAAGGTCTTAACAAAGACTCATCTCCTCTGAGAAAGAAGGAATTCTGCCAGCAGACAGTCTTTGGACTCAAATTACTACTACTCTTCTCTTGGTCTCCAGTCTACTGGCTTTTCCTTCAGATTTAGACTTACTAGCCTCCACATCATATGAGCCAATTTCTTAAAATAACTCTCTCTACACACATACAAATCCCCCCCACACACACCCACACCCACACCCTCCCACACAAACACACCCTGTTTTGTTCTCTGGAGAACATGACTAATACAAGTAGCTATGGTAGTGACTCTCAGCTAGAAATGGTGGGGGCAAGGTGCAGTCTACAGAAAAAACGCAGGGGTTGGGGATGATAGATATTTTTATTTTATTTTTTTGTTAATCCTCACCCATTGATTTTTAGAGAGTGGAATTGGGGGGAGAGATAGAGGGCGGGGAGAGTGAGGGGGAGAAGAAGATTGCTGTGAGGGAGACACAAAGGGACACAGAGACATATACTGGTTACCTCCCGCATGTGCCCAGACCAGGCTTGGAATCAAGCCTGCAATTGAGACACATGTCCTTGACGGGAATCAAACCGAGGACCCTTCAGTCTGCAAACTGATGCTCTATTCACTGAGCCAAACTGGCTAGAAAGGCCTGATGCAGACCTTATGGAATATCTACTCAGAAGTTATTTACTAGTCTTCTTCGACTGCAGAGGCTGGAATACTAAAACAAAATTTTTGGCTTCCTTTATATGTAAGAGAGCTGTGGCCAAATTCTTGAGAAAGGCATCCTTTGCAAAAGAACAGCTAATGCATCACTAGGAAGCACTGTGCTCTAACCACTAAGGATCCAGATGTAAAAACAGTACCTTAGGGAGCTGATCCTCAGCTCTAGAGCCGCTCCCCCCATTCCCCAGTGTTCATGTGCAGTATCTTATACAAGAGTGTAAGTACAATCTGGCTGCTTAGGCCAACCTGTACTGAAAGCAGAAAAACTTAATCTATGTTATCATATTGTTCCTTTAAAATCATAGCTGAACTCAGGCTCCACTGAGACAACCTGAAGGTGAAATCTGCAGTAGGAAGGACTTCGACTGGAAAAATTTCCTGAAAACAATGATTACAAAATACTGACAATTATAACTATGAACTACTAAGGAAGGCTATTAAATATCCTTTAAAAAGCGTCTTTTGAAAATATGACCTGAAAAAGAATTTAAAAAAAAAAGAAAAGAAAAAAAAGAAAAAAGAAATGATAGATGTGTATACAGTGGAAAAGACTGAAAACTATGTATGAAAGTAGTTGTTTTGGGGCAGGGGAATTTAAAATAAATTATATTTATTTTTTTTAAAAAAAGAAAGAAAGAAACTATGACCTGAATTATTTTATGGCATTCCATTATAAAGACAAGAATTAGATAAGAGCAGCACTTTGACATCATTTCCATTCTATAATACATTTTGATTTTAAAGTTTTACCTCAGTATACTTTCTATATTTATTACAGGAGAGCTAAAGAGTGCTATATAAAAATCACAATATAATAAAACCTCAGTAACAAACCATTAAGAAGGAACTTATTGGCCAAGTTGATAAAAAAAAAAAGTAAATTAAATGTCCAAATTTTCTAACAACTTTTTAAGTCAACACTACGATATCTTTAAGGCTATCAATGACGTACCTCTAAAAATATTTTTTTCTTCATACCTGTCTAGAAAAAGAAAAGTCAAGGGCTATTAATGATTTCAAAATTCTGTGCTTACCTTTTTTCTCTCCAGTGTAGGGCACATAGTCTTCCCGGTCCTTATGCTCCAAAGCTTCCTTCTCCAGATACGACAAGAGGTGTTCTCTATCAAAGGGCCCCGTGGCGGGCTTCGAGGTCTGGTTCTTCTGCCGGAACCCTGCAGGCAGAAGGGCATTCTGCCAGAGAGAAAGAATCAACCATGATGACCACCAAGAATGCCGATTTTCATGTGCTGGCATAGATTACTCAGAGAAGAAACAATTCTAGATTAGAATATGATGTAGGCATTAAACACTGTATTACAGAATTTTAGGGTTGCAATGTAAAAGTGTTCCAAAGTTTTTTCTTAAATTAGGTAGTATTCACTTACATTACTATTAAAATAGGTACAAACATTTTCTTCAGCATTCTACAAGCAAGAAAATCCCTTTACTTTAAAAATGTCCTGGGACAATACTAAAAAGATTTTTAATGGTTACCAGCAGCTTAGAATACATGTAAATATAGAAAATAAATCCATTACAAAAGAATGTTAAATGACAATATGCATTATAGTCCTTCACAGTGGCTTTTATTTCCTTGTAAAGACTTTCTCATTAAAAAACAACAACACATGTATTTCAAGCCCTAGCCGGGTTGCTCTGCTGGTTAGAGAACCCTTCTGACACCAAGGTTGCTGGGCCAGGGCACACATAGAATCAATGAATGCATAAATAAGTGAAACAACAGTTGATGCTTCTCTCTCCCTCTCTCCTAAATCAATTAATAAACAAAAGAAAATAAGTATATTGCCCGGGCGGCGTGGTTCAGAGGTTGAGTGTCGACTTATGAATCAGGTCATGGTTCCATTCCCAGTCAGGGCACATGCCCTGGTTGCAGGCTCAATCCCCAGTGAGGGGTGTGCAGGAGGCAGCCGATCAATGATTTTCTGTCACCATCACTGATGTTTCTCTCTCTTTCTCCCTCTTCATCTCTGAAATTAATTAAAAAAATACATATATAAAAAATAGAACAGTCACATCAGTAAGCTGGAAGTAGAAGGGGAAAACTGGAGAAGAGACAAAAAGTTAATTTAAATAAAGAGGTGTCGGTGAAGACTTGGTTTGGGTGGTGAACACACAATGCAATATACAGATGACATATTATAGAATTGCACCCCTTAAACCTGTAATTCTATTAACCAATGTCACCCCAGTAAATTCAGTTTAAAAAAAATTATACATATACATGGGGGGGGGAAAAGAGGTGCTAGTGAAAAGTCCTAAAAATGTTAACTGCTCAAAGGCAGCTACTTACTTTCAAAGGGTTTGAAAAATTATTTCATTTTTCTTCATTAGCTAGCACCCACCTCAGGGTCAAGATCATCCAGCACAGTTTCCAGTTGTTTCAGTTCTATTTCTGACAGATTCCCAAGGAGCTCATCTTCATCCAGGTCCTTGTACTTTTCTAAGTCCTTCCGGAACGGTAGTGCCATGGTCTGCAGTGTCACTTCGTTTCTGCTATACAATGTAGTCACAAGTGATTTCTATTTTTTTTTTTTTAAACTATAGAGAGAAGAGACAAAAACATTTAAAACATCATCTCCACCTATTTAGATCGATAATTAGGTTCAACAAAATATAATTTCCACGTGACATATTCTTAGACCATATATCACACACCACCCTTTTCTATGGATCATTCAATGCCTTTACCTTTTGTCTTTTGTTAACAACAACAAAAGTAAACCGGAGAAAAAGAGGGGAAAGAAAGAATAAAATTCAAATCCACAAAACTGTCTACTTGACAGCATATAGATTTTCTGATAACTAAGTTTTAGGGTGAAAAAGATTATATAATTAGTGCGAAAATACAAATTTTTCCATCAATGGCTTTTAAATGTTACTTTGCTTAAGCACAGAATGTTTAAGGTACAGTTGTTTTATTGTAAATTACTTAAAAGAACATTATTTTCTGACTCAACATTAACATGGGGTGATACCAATGCATTCCCCTTGAAGAAATGGCGGCCTCTTGTGATAGGGAAAAATTTTTTTTGAGAAGTGCATAAAAAAAATTTAAAGGCGCTTTTAAAGGAAAAAATACTGTATTCTAAAACTTGCAGTAAAATATTCAAAACCATGCTGAGCTATCTCACCCACTAACTAGCAAGGCTGATCAGGAGAATCTGATTCAGAAAGGACTTTCATCATTTCCTTACTGTATGGATCTCTCCCAAAAAGCTACGAGGTGACTCAATAAGCAGCATCTTTCCAGTTACCCACAGGACTGTTATATAGGAAAGGATACTTAAAGTAAAAAAGTAAAGCAAAAATTAAGTATTTCTAGGAATTTTAGCCATATACGTGGACCATTTGTCTCATAAAATATTCCTATGTGTGTGCCCTACCCAGTTTGGCTCAGAGGATAGAACACTGGCCTGGGAACTGAAGGGTTCTGGGTGGGTTCGATTCAGTTGTAGATTCTATCCCTGGCCCTGGTTAGGACATGTGCAGGAAGCAACCAATTGATGTGTCTCTCTCATATTTCTTTCTCTGTATCTCTCCCCCTCCCTTCCACTCTCTCTAAAAATCAATATAAAAAATATCCTCAGATGAGGATTAACAACAACAACAACAACAACAAAAATGTTCTGTGTGGATAAAAAATAATCTTTAGACTTAATGATGTTAAAAATTTTCTTGGCTGCAAAATGCCCAGTATTTCAAAGTTTGGATATATTTCCTTTACACCCCCCCCCCTCTTGTTTTCCCAACTTAATATCATATTTTAACTAATATATTTTTCTTCTCAATTCAGTAACATTTTATGGATCCTTTTAGGCATTTTCATCTCCCAAGAAGAAATGAAGGTTCACCATAGGGGTCTGTCAGTTAATGAAGTGACTAGTAACCACCTGGGTCCTGTAAAAAGCAAATTAACATAATTGTGCTTGTTCAGATGTTAAATTGCAGGCATTTTGTATAACTGCCCAAGACAGATCTGGCTTACACCTGTTCTACTAACACCACATAGATTTAGCAGTTATCCTAAACTTTTCCATTAAAAAAATTATTGTTATCATTACTAAGTTTGGTAAACCTCCACTTTGTATTTCCAACTTAAAGATAGCAAGCTTACCAAGTATCCTGAGAGTGTATTTTCTCAATTAAAAATAATACTGTCTGCAGAGAACAGTCAATGGAAAGTATCAGCACTATCAAATACAGTAACCATAAAATGCAACTTTAAAGGGCATGCAATTTTAGAAGAATAGATAAAAAATTAGACCACACTAAAAAAAATTCCCTTCATAAACAGACATTTTGAAACAAAGGTAAGAAATTGATAAAAGTTTAAGAACATGTACCAAGAGTAATTAATTACTTCATGCTATTTTTTTAATGTTTGGAAAATCAATATAAAATACATTTTCAATATATTTTAATATAATATACTGACATTTACAGTACAGTCAAGTGCCGTCAACAATGGACTGAGCATCCAAAGATAGTCCCATAAGATTATCATGGGGCAAAAAAATTCCTATAATCAAATGTAGCCCTTTAATGTAAAACCCAACAGCTTACTCATGTGTTTGTGGTGATAATGGTGTAAACAAGCCTACACTTACTGTTCTGGCAATGGTATAAAAGCCTAGAACATATAATTAAATATAGTGCATAATACCTGATAATGATCATAAATGATTACGTTCCTGGTTTATTTATTTACTCTATGATTTTAAAGTGTATTCTTTCTACTTAAAAAAAAAAAAAACAACCTTTGCCGTAAAATGCCTTACCTATCTTGTTTACTGCATCTCTTGATATCACAATTTTCTCTTGTGTTTGATTTAACCATATGTTGTTTAGTATAGGGTTGTAGCCTAGGAGCAAGGCTAAGTCATATAGCCTAGGTGTGGAGTAGGCTGTAGCATCTAGGTTTGTGTAAGTGCACTCTGTGATGTTCACACAATGATGAAATTGCTCAATGATGTATTTCTCAGAACTTATCCCCATTGTTAAGCAGCACATAACTGTGTATAATAGAGCTAATTTCTTAGCCAATAAATATTTCAAAAAAACACTTATTATTTTAAGCATCTCTTTTCTTTACACTCCAAAGTATCCCAGCCTGGGCCATAAATTCAATGGTCATCCAATTAAGAGGGTATTGTAATAGATAATAATGATAGGAATGAGATATCAGAATAAAGGCAATATATATCACTCGGGTTTTATAGGTAAAAAACATGACATTCCTTAGAATGAGTAAAATAGTTTACTCCAATAGATTGCTCTTTATTCCAAGTACTAGAGGCCCGGTGCACAACATTTATGCATCCTTTTGCAGTCTGGGACCCCTTGGAGGATGTCCCACTGCTGGCGTAGGCCCAGCCGTGAGCCCAGCTTCTGGCTAAGCAGTGCTCCCCTGTGGGAGTGCACTGACCACCAGGGGGCAGCTCCTGCATTGAGCAACTTCCCCCTGGTGGTCAATGAATGACATAGCAAACGGTTGTTCCACCATTCGGTCAATTTACATATTAGGATTTTATTATATATTCTAATCTGTCATACAAAGAAAGCATCTTTATATACTAGTAGGGGCCCAGTGCACAAATGTGTAAATCTTGAAAGGAACTGTGGACTGTGAGGCTGTGACGGGCACAGGGGTGGGACTTGACCCATCCTCCGTGTCCCCACCCAGCCCCTTCCACTGTGGCCCCCAGTCCCGTCTACCAGCAGCCCCACTCCTGCTGGTACCCACTGATATAGCACAGAGTGACTGGGGCCAGCGCTGACAGTGGGTGCAAGTGGGGACTGCTGCCCCGATTGCCCCTCAGGAACAGGGGGAGGTGGAGAAGCCCTCAGGGGCGATCGGGGCCGGTGCCGGATGCCAGCAGCAGGAGTGAACAGGGCCAGGGCCGGCACTGGGTGTGAGCACCGGCTACAGCACTGGCAGTGGGTGCAAGAGGCAGATGCCAGCCCTGATTGCCCCGCAGGAGCAGGGGGAGGTGGAGAAGCCTTGAGAGGAGATCGGGGTTGGTGCCAGGCCCTGGCAGCAAGTGTGAGCGGTGCATGGGAGCAAATAATTTTCAGTAACCACCAAAGGCTTGCTCGGATGACAGTGACAGTGCCCCGCCTTGGTCTGGCACCCCTGCTCACCTGCTCCACCATCCCGCCATGGCTGATGCCTGCCATGTTCTACGCACTCCCCTAATGGTCAGTGCACATGATAGTGACTAGTTGCTCATTTGTCGTTTGATCTATTTGCATATTAGGGTTTTACATATGTAGACTGCTTAAAAAATAATAAAATGAATGCCTATCTTCAGAGAGAGACCATTACTATGTTCCCCATGCCAGTGGCATCTCTCTCCTCAAAAGAAGTAGCCACTGTACTGAATTTTGGATTACTTATTCTTTGGCTTTCCTCTACATTTTACCTTAAATGTACATATTCTTAGGAGTTTCAGTTTTCCCATTTTATTTTGCATTTTATATATATATACTCATACAGTATGCATCCTTTTGTGACTTGCATTTTTCATTTAAGATTGTTTTGATGCTGATGGCTTTACTTCTTTCATTTTCATTTCTATATAGAATTCAATTGTATAAATGAATAGTCAAGTTTTTTACAGTCTTCCCCTCTCTGTTTTTCTGCTATAAACCATCTTGTTATCTACTTCCTGGTATACATGTGCAAGAGTTTCTCAAAGCTGTTCAAATCTAGGAATGAAATTACTGGAAAAGGGTAATGCTCATACTCAACTGTATTGGGTAATGTCAAACTATTTTCTTTTTAAAAAAAAATATTTTTATTGATTTCAGAGAAAAAGGGATCAAGAGAGAGAGAAGCATTAATAATGAGAGAAAACCACTGATCAGCTCCCTGTGCCCTACTAGGAACTGAGCCTGCAACCTGGGCATGTGCCCTTAACTGGGAATTGAGCCGTGATTTCCTGATTCCCACGTAGATGCTCAACCACTGAGCTATACCAGCCAGGCTAAAACTATTTTCAAAGTGATTATACCAACTTACAGTTCTAACAGATTCAGTACATGACAATTCATGTTGCTCATCCTTGCTAACTGTTGGTATTAACAGATTTTTTTGTGTTTTGTTGTTGTTCTTGCCATTCTGGTGAATGTGATCTTGTATTTTGCTGTAGTTTTAATTTGCATTTTGTTGAATTATGATAAAGTTGAGTATCTTTTCATTCGTTCGTTCATTTATTGGCCAATGGTGCTCCTCATTTTGTGAAGAATCTGTTGATCATTTTTAAAATTGTGTTATTAAAAAAAAAATGTTCTCCAAGAAAAACAACAACAAAAATTTAAAAAATAGATGTTCTTAATATATTCTGGATATTCATATTTTTCAGTTACATGTAAAAAATATTTTCCATTTTCTTTCAACTCTCACTTTGTTTTTATGGTATTTTCTAGGAGAAAATGTTTTTAAGTGTTTTTATTTAATTTCTTAAGGAATTTGTTTTCCTCGCCACAGACATCAGTCTCCCCGAGGCTGTGGACTGGGTGATGATGCAGTCCTACTTTGGCTTCTTTTTTCCTTTACAAGGCAATAGAAAGCTATTTCCTTCAGATTCGCATAAGAAATTTGCCAAGAAATTCCAAGTAATATACTAAAGTTTCCCAGAAGCTTCAATACAAAGGAACTAATGCTCAAAAAAGTCACTCAGAACTTATCAGTAGCATTCTTTCATCAGGTGTTCACATTCTCAGATTCTCCAACTTGATTATACCTTCCCTTTAAGCTCTCCTCCTCTACTGAGGAATGTCTATGTACTATAAATGTTCCAAGTGTTAGTAGAGAAGCTCAGAAACACCCCAGGAAGGGAAGCTCTGGGAACAGTGCTTTGCTTCACTTTCTCTCCCTCTATCTTACGGAGAACCTGTCCTGGCTTGTTTGTGCTTTGATAGCTGTCTTACTGGAAAGAGAACACATTATGAATGAAGGTGTGAATCCAGTGTGCCAAAAAGTATTTTAAATCTACAGGAACTTTTAAAATCCCCAAGCTACAATTCATAGAAAAGTAACAAATAACAGGCATGGGCCGCACCTCCATGGCGGCCACCACAGTGAGAGAAATGAGCCGCCAGACTGTGACAGCGTTACCTACTGGGACCTCCACGTGCAGAGGGTGCCCGCCCTGACGGGCAACCACTGCATCCAACAATGGCTTGGCCAGGCTTTTTGAGTGTTCTGTCTGCTTTGACTATGTGTTGCCAACCATTCTTCAGTGTCAGAGTGGTCCACCTTGTCTGTAGCAACTGTCACCCAAAGCTCACATATTGTCCAACTTGGGATCCATTTGCAACTTGGTGATGGAGAAAGTGGTCAATTCAGTACTTTTCCCTTGTAAGTATGCCTCTTTCGGGTGTCAGATAACTCTGCCACACACAGAAAAAGCAGACCACAAAGAGCTCTGTGAGTTTCGGCCTTACTCTTTCCTGCTTGTGCCCTGGTGCTTCCTGCAAGTGGCCAGGCTCTCTGGATGCTGTGATGCCCCATCACATCAGCACAAGTCCATCACCATCCTTCAGGGAGAGGATATCTTTTCCCTCACCACAGATATCCATCTCCCCAGGGCTGTGAACTGGGTGATGACCCAGTCCTATTTCAGCTTCCACCTCATGCTGGTCTTAGAGAAACAGGCACCAGCAGTGCTTTGCATTTATACGGCTGATAGGAACGTGCAAGCAAGTGGAAAATTTTGCTTATCGACTTGAGCTAATGGTCATAGGCGGTGATTAACTTGGGAAGCTACTCCTTGATCTATTCATGAGGGAACTGCAATAGCCAATATGAATATTGACTTGTCTTTGACATCAGCATTGCACAGCTTTCTACAGAAAATGGCAATTTAGGCATCAATGTAACTATGTCCATGTGTTGAAATGGCAATCAAACATTTTCTGGCCAGTGTTTAAAACCAGTGCAACCTTTTCCTGCCACCCTGAAACTTTTGGTAGGTGGAGCTAGTCACATGAAAGTAGATAAAAGGAAAGGTAAATAAATACAGGAAATGGTTGCATGTAGTAACACTAGTCAACAGTAAACCACTGAAAAAATATATATATTCACCCAAGATAAGCATCTTTTGTATTAAGAAAGGAAACATCCTATCTAATAAAAGTGTAATATGCAAATTAACCACACTCCATTATATCCACAAAACAATGCCCACTAGCCAATCAGGAGCAAGTATGCAAATTAATCCAACCAAGATGGCTGCAGCCACAGAGAGAGCAGGAGGGAGGCTTGGGTTTCCCTGGTGATAGAGGAAGCCAGGCTTTCTGCACACCCTGGCCTGCCCAGGCTGCCATTCCAGGCTACAAAATTTCAATTATAGAAGATAAGTAAATCTCAACAGAAATGGCTGCCACCATTGAGCGAGCAGAAGGTTTGGCTCTACAAAGTTTCAATTGTAGAAGATAAATAAATCCGAGATACCAGGGCCTCCACTTGGGTCGCTGGGGGGCGTGGCCAGCCTGCAAACCACCACAGGCCCCTCGCCCAGGCCGCCCCACGCCCCAAGGGAACCCCCACCATGATCAGGAACACCCTTTAGGGCAAACCAGCTGGCCCCCACCTATGCACTAGGCCTCTATCCTATCTATCAAAAGAGTGAAATGCATATTGATCACTCCAACACACAAGATAGCTGCCCCCATTTGGTCAAAGATCCTGCCCCCATGTGGACACAAGATGACCACCACAAGACAGCCAACAGGGGAGGACAGTTGGGAGGAACCAGGCCTGCAAGGGAGGGCAGTTGGGGGCAATTAAGCCTGAAGGGGAGGGCAGTTGGGGTGACCAGGCTGGCAGGGGAGAGTAGTTAGGGGCATCAGGCCAGCAGGCAGAAGTGGTTAAGGTTAATCAGGCAGGCAAGTTATTAGTAGCCAGCAGTCCCAGATTATGAGAGGGATCCCAGATTGGAGAGGGTCCCGGCTGAGCTGAGGGACCCCCCCCCCCCCCCGCAGTGCAAGAATTTCATGCACCAGGCCTCTAGTCCTATATAAAAAAAGGCTAATATGCAAATTAACCGAATGGTGGAATGACAGGTTTCTATGATGTGCACTGACCACCAGGGGGAAGAAGCTCAACACAGAAGCTGCCCCCTGGTGATCAGTGTGCTCCCACAGGAGGAGTGCTGCTCAGCTAGAAGCCAGGTTAATAGCTGGTGAGCGCAACAGCAGTGGTGGGAGCCTCTCCTGCCTGCACGGCAGCACTAAGATGTCCGAATATTGGCTTCTGGACTGTGAGCGGGTGCAGGCTGAGCTGAGGGTCACCCTCCCCCTCCCAGTGTACAAATTTCTTGCACCAGGCCTCTAGTCTACAATAACAAAAGTGTAATATGCTAATTAGATGAGACATCCTCCGGGATGAAGCCGGGGCTGCAGTCATGGGATGGAGGCAGCCACCACCACGGGAGGGATCCAGACAGCCAGCTGGGAAGGCCTACTCTTGCATGAATTTTGTGCATAGGGCCTCTAGTATTATATAAAAAGCTAGACAAAAAAAGAATGCATACTAGCCGAAACCGGTTTGGCTCAATGGATAGAGCGTCGGTCTGCGGACTGAAAGGTCCCAGGTTCGATTCCGGTCAAGGGCATGTACCTGGGTTGCGGGCACATCCCCAGTAGGGGGCGTGCAAGAGGTAGCTGATCGATGGTTCTCTCTCATCGATGTTTCTAACTCTATCCCTCTCTCTTCCTCTCTGTAAAAAATCAATAAAATATATTTAAAAAAAAAAAGAATGCATACTATATACTTTCATGTATATTAAATTCAAGAACAGGCAAAACTAACCCACGGGAATGAAAATAGCTATTAGGAGGTATTGATAAGATAGAATATTCAGAGGATATTCTAGGCTGATAAAAATGTGCTATATCTTAAATTGGATGATAGCTAAACACAAGTATATTTATGTAAAATTTTTGTTAATCTGTTCTGTTAGGATTTTCTCCTTATACTCTGAATTATACATAAAAAAAAATTCAATACAGTAAGTCCTCACTTAACCTCATTGGTAAGTTCTTTGACTTTAAGTGAAACTATATACAATAAAGTAAATTTTATCAATAGGATAATTGATATAAAAGTTACTACAGCAAGCACCTTCTTAATGTTATAAGGGAAACAATAATGAACAAAACGTTATTCAAGGACCTGCTGTATGTGCTTGTGTTGTGCAATTAATTATATGTATTTAATGTTGAGATTTAAGGTTCCCACAACATAGAAAATAATGGTTTTTCTGTAGTCATTTTAACAAGAAGTCATAAAAAAATAAAAAAAATAATTTGCCTTTGCAAGCCAATCAATCACCTTCAGCTGCTCACTTCCAAAAGTCAGCCAATTAGGAACAGATTCCCTCCAGTAAAGCACCAGTCTAAGTGCCAGCCAACCAATCAACAGCCTCCCCAAATAATCATGCTTCTACAATTGGTGTCACTATGGCCTTGAAAAGTTTGCCAGTCCGTGAATTCCACGCTTCCCAAAAGCCCTGTATAATAACTTGGTCACCTTTGCTGAGAGAGACTGTGTCTAACCAGCATAGCTCCCCCTTATCACAGGAAGTATTATTACAGCTTTGTCACTTTGTTTCAGATATTGACTATTAGCTGGTGGTCTCATTATTCTTTCATGGCAAAGAAAACTTTTAGTGATTAGATAAGTTTATTTTTAAACAAAAGTATCTCAATGTTGATATATATTAGATAATAGTAGTTGGGATAAACATATTCCCTCTGTGTAAATATCCATGTAATCTTTTGAACTGGATATGGTTTAACATCCAATCAACTTTGTAAGTATGTGTTTCAATTTGCTTTGGCTAAAAACTTCAAATCAGCATTCCTTTTTCGGTTTTGTTTGGACCTGGCTTCAGAATTAATCTGAAAATAGTTTTAAAATAAGTGATCCCTATCTAGAGATTTTAAAAGCATCTAAAGGCTCTCTTCTTTAATGTTAGGCTTGAGTTTCATCTCTGCTGGCTTAAGAAACATTCTTTGAAGGAAAAGGCTGGAGTAAAGAAAGTCATCTGTTTATTCCTGGCACTGTTAAATGCAGAGGAGGAGTATGAATATCTGTCTGTGATAGTATGTAGCAGATTGCTCAAATGCAAGAGAATTTTTAAATCTCTTAAGGTCATTTCCTTTTTATAAGGTTATGATTCTAGATAACATTAATTATAAGAAAAAATGTGCTTTGTGTCACCACATCCAAAGCACTATTACACAGTTAAATACTCCTAAAAAATGAAAAACATTTTAGTTGCATATAATAATGTATATTACTTTTATAATAATAAAGATTTATTATTTATAATAAAGATTTATTTATTATTATATAATAAAAGTAATCTTTATCTTTACTTTTCTAAAGACATTTTTTATAAAGGAAATAAATTGGATGCTAAATCTATCCTTCTGTTTTGTTTACTGACTCTTCTATACAATGAAGCCTCAAGGGCAGCACATTAAATAAAGATTTTTGTAGAGTTCTTGGGATGTTATGATTGACCTAAATATGAGTACATCTGAATGAGGTAATTGCTTTGTACATAGAAATTTGAGAAAATGTGGTTGATTAGTCTGTGTGAAAGTTTCATGGAAACTAATCAACACAAGTATGAAATTAGCTAAGCAGTCCTGTCTTTCTTGCCATTACTACTGACATCATCTTAAATTTTTAAAAATATATATTTTTATTGATTTCAGAGAGGAGAGAGGGAGAGATAGAAACACCAATGATGAGAATCATTGATCAGCTGCCTCCTGCACACCCCTCACTGGGGATCGAGCCTATAACTTGGGCTGATCTGGGAATTGAACCGTGACCTCTTTCCTGGTTCATAGGTCGATGCTGAACCATTGAGCCACATCTGCCAGGCTTGAATTTTTAAAAAATGAGATTCATATATTCCCAAAGGTAGGAAAATAAAGTATGAACTGTTAGGGACAAAACAGAGAAGAGATTACATTGGAAGCAGGTTACTGAGAGCAACCTTTAAGTAGAAAGCAGCTAGATCATTTCTGTGACTATTACAAGAAAACAGTTAACACATGGCTCAGACCTCTTCAAAAATACTCTTTCAACAAGACTCTACTAAGAGACTTTGTGGCCCTCATATGAGTAACCCAGTTCCTTTTCTGGCTCAAAGCAGCTCCTAGTCCTAGCCCACTCCTTCCTTCATTCTTCTTGGTAGAGTTGCAAGCAAGGTCTGAGGGGAACCCAGTCTGTGCATACCAAAGACAAATGCCACAAGAGCCACACCCTTAACTTACCCAGTTTCTCAGTACCAAATGTTTTATTGTCTCCTTCTCCTTTTCTTCTAATTTTTTTTGGGTGGGTGAGTTATTTGTTTAACAGATTAGATGGATTGAAAAATGCTGAAGCTTTTCTAAAAGTTGTTACAAACAAAAAAAATATTAAAATAGAAATAGCATCATATGAATGAGTCTCTTGGGGTAATAATGTTACTGAACTGTTTATCTCTACTGGTTAACCTAAAAAAGCCTTCTACCAGCCATACTGTGGACAAAACCAAATATGATATGAGGTGGCTTGCAAGAAAAGCTTATCAGTGCTCAGCCATCAATCAAAATGATGAATCCATTCCAAATACATATTGGAGAGACTAATCTGAAGGTTTCCTTTCTTTCTCTCCCAAAGGGAGTATTGCTATGACTCATTCTTCCTCTTGCAAGAATTTTCTTAATCCACCAAGTTAGTAAGCATTGGACTATATACAAAATCCTAAAATAAACTAGGTTAGGTCTAAAAGAAACCATGCTAAGAGCAAATTGAAGTTATGCAGTGAACAAAAGGTAAAATGCTAACATCTTTCCTCAGTTTCATCTCTTGTGAATTTCCCAGGCTTCAGACAAGATTTTTCCCCTTAATTCTGAAAAACTCTCCTTTTCCAACCTTACCAATTTCCCTACCTTCAAATCAATATACATATGCCTCTATTAAGTGCCTCTTTCGTTTAATGTACTGTTTGGGGGTAAGGGAGGCACTGGACTGGAGGGAGAGGAAAGGAACTATGAGAATGAAAAGACTTTTGAGAAAATTATATACAACAGATTCTTTTTTTTTTTTTTT